AATCTCTAGCTGTAACGATTTGAGGGATTGTAAAGGTATGCCTCTGACTCATATAATAACCTTGGCTTTGTTATATTATCGAATGTTGATTTCTGTGAAATTGCGTTTTGTTCTTCTCTTGAGGATTTGATTAAAGCTTTTGCTCCAATGTCAAATAACCATATTTGTAACAATAGCAATTTTATACTGCTTTCATGAGTTTGCCAGTTCTATTGGTTTATTCATCAACTTGACCTTTCATTAACAGTATCGTGTTCATGTATGTTGCAGCCTTAAGCTCTGAAAAACTTGTGAAGCAGCTTGGTCTGATCAAGGATGCAAGATGAAGCAACACACCAGGGTTCAAGCAGTAAGATGTGGAAACCAGAGCCAATACAGATGTCTTTTGGATCTTTGGGATAAATGCTGAGTATTTGTGCTATTTCTTGGCCTTGTTTCTATGTTGTACAATATATGTATGTGATTTTGTTGTTTGATGAATACATTATGTTACCTGTCGTTTAAACAGAATAAACCAAGCGCTTTTGAAATGTGTGACCGCTTGAGTCATGTACTATAGGTTAATACTTGGGTAACCTTGAAATTGTAAATGGAAATGTTAGAAACTTAGAATAAGTAAAGTTGATATAAGAGCAATCTCAAAAGTTATCTAATACCTTGATAAAGTTGATTTACATTTTTTTTTTTGAAAGTTTGATATGATGCTAAACAAGAAACACATGGTGATCCTTAAAGATCTAACTCCGTTAATCCGACACTGTTGTTTGGAGAGGCAAATGACTCTCGACTCCCTTGGCTTCCTCGGCTTGCTTCTCTGCCACGGCCTTGGATAATCCAAACATCTGAAATCAGCAAACTTTAAGTTAGGAGATAGATGGTCTCCAAATCAGAAGAGACTTGTCACATATATAATGTCAAGCTCAACGTTTAATCATAAAGCACAAACTGTATTGGCAATTTCACGTCTGAAACTGTGATTTCTACTAAACACACAACTAGACCAAAAAGAGAGTTGAGAAAGAACCTTGGTGATGGTCTTTTGGAAACAAGTCTTGTGTTCATCCATAGAGGCATGTATGAACTCATCGATGTGATCTCTCACGTCCTCAAAGAATGTGGCATCATCCTTTACTTTCTTCCTACATGAAGTCATAACCGGTTTCGGTGGGATCTCGGTTTGATTTTTCTGGGTCTCCATTTGTGTTGGTGCCCTGCAAACAAAACACAGAACAAGAATGATTAAACAAAATACAAAAATCAACAAGGGTTATGCCCTTTCGCAAAGTCTTCACATATCTAAGTATTTTATGGTGAAGCAATATCTCTGATTGAATTCCACAATCTAAGTAAAGCTCTCAAAGCGATAAGCCCAAAGATTGATCCTTGGCGTTGGGTGTTGCTCAAAATCAAAGCAAAATCACATCCAAAACAACAAATTCCACGACGATTACTAGAATAAGCAAACATATCCCCACAAAAAAATCGATCGCGAAGAACCCTAAACGAAAACTCCACGATTCAAAATATAATAACTGGAAAATTACATGTCCAGTAAGAGATGATTGTATCAATTCCTAAACATCACTCTCCGTTATCCGCAATCAATTAGTTTTAACTTAACCACAAACAAGGCAAGGAATCGAAGAGAAAGAGCTTCGTGATAAAAATCATTTACCTCACACTCTTGCTTCTAGAGTTTTCTTCGTTTCTCCTGCTAATAATCAGCTGCAGCTAGAAGACGCTACAAACAAACACAAACACAGTTAGTTTTGTCTGGGCGTTAAACTAAATGGGCTTAAATAATAGGGCCTCATTAAAAGCTTTCTTGTCTACTCGGACCGTGATGAAACGGCCCATTTTTACTTTCCTTGCAATTAAATCAGACTCTCTTTTTCCTTTTTATTCCCTTCATCCAAAATCGAATCGGAATTGGAAATTCATGCCTATATAAGAAATCTGTTCGATCTCCCCTATCCTCCTGACCTCCTTGATTCAAATTCATTCACTCTTTTTCCCAATAAAATCAGAAAACGCTGAGAATGGACGCCGGCAGGGATTGGAAGAAGAAGAACGGCGCGGCGGGGGCGGCGTTTGAGCAGAGTCTGAGAGAAGCTCGAGAGAGGCGAGAGGCTGAGATGGAGCCAGAGACGGCGGAGCTTGCGGCCTACAGACTGGCGCGGCGGAGGGAGTTTGAGGAGAGGGCCCGCCGCCGACCATTCAGTATCCGAGGGTGGTTGGAGTATGCGCGGTGGGAAGAGTCGCAGAATGATTACGATCGTGCAAGGAACGTGTGGGCACGAGCCTTTGAAGTCAGTATGAGTATGATGGACCATACGGTCTGGATCGAGTATGCAGAATTTGAGATGAAGAACATATCTGTGGACAGCGGGAGACTAGCTTGGCTTCAAGCCGTCAGTTGTGTCCCCGACGTGGACGAGCTCTGGCACAAGTCCATCGAGATGGAGGAGAAGCTTGGGAATATCGCCGGAGCTAGAAAGGTATTGGACCGGTGGATCAACAGGTTGCCGCGTGCGGGTGAACAAGCGTGGCTCTCGTATATCGAATTCGAGCTCAGGTATAACGAAATCGAGCGCGCGAGATCCATGTACAACGCATTTGTGTTTCACCATCCAAAAGCTTCTGCCTTTATCCGATATGCTTGCTTCGAGATGAAGTGTGGTGAGGTTGAGCGTGCCAGGAATGTGTACCAACGCGCCACCGAGAAGTTGGCATTGGTGGCAAACTCTGCACTCGCATCAGAGGCTGCTAAAGAGGATGCTGCGTTGCTCTCTCTCGCCTTTGCTGAATTCGAACATCGGGCTACCTGCATCCACGACTTTGCCAATCTACAAGTTTGCGAATGATCACATCCCTAGCTTCATCTTCTCTTTTAAGGTTTTTTTTTTTTTTAATTCTCGTCACTGTTTGCTTTGCTTTTCGCATAAAATTGTATACTTTTAAGCTAACTATTTAATTTATATGACTTTAACGCAGGGCGCTTCATAGGGCGCTAAGGTAAAGTTGGGATTTAAATAAATCAAAACAAAAATAAAACAGAAAAGCCTACGTTTACATTGGCGTTACAAGCGTCGACTCACGTGGCAGTGATTAGGCGTGTCATTGGCAGAAGATTTGGCTGTCATTTTTCTTCTTCATTATTCTGTTTTGTTTCTCTCTCCTCCCTCTCTCTTCGCCGTTGCTCTCCTATGGCGGATTCGCGATTCCACGGTAATTCGAATGATTCATCGATTTCGCACAAAAAATCGGTCCAATTATCATGCCTTCGGTGGTGGGTCTTTCCTAATCTCCGTGAAACGGTGCGAATCGGCGAAGAACACCGGAAGATCAACAGTTCTCAATCAGCGATTGTTTCTCCTCTATGCATGGTAACTTTTTCTTCCACAATCGGCCTTATATGGTGGTCAATTAGGGTTTAGGAGTTTATTCAAGTTCATGTCTGATTCGAATTGATCTTCTTTTCATTCGTTCCTTTTACTTATTAGCTCATGTTTTGTCCTAAAATTTTGGCTTGTGTTGTTGTTTATTTTGGTTTCTGGTGGGCACAGAGATGGAGCTGTTGACAACGACAACAACAACAAGGACGTGTTTACAGCTGTTGACCAAGCTGAGATTACAAAAGATGTTTGCTTGATGTATGATTTTGTGAATCAGCATTTACAGGAGGCCACAAGGTCGTTACATCAGCTTGAAAGAGAAGTGAGAATTTCTTGTGATCAAGTGATCTTTTGTTAAAACCTTTCTCTGTCCATATCTTGTTTTGAATCCAGGGTTTCCGACCTAAGCTTGGAGGAAGATGATGTTCTGAAGCTAGTAAGTGAAAAGAGTGAGAACAGAGTTGTAAGGAATATAAAGGCTTCAATGAAATGCAGTGATAGAGAAGTTTCCAAGCCTGCAACCGAGAGCTTCTCTTTCAGAATTCCTCCATCAGAAAACATTGAATCTCAAGGAAGGTCGGATCTTCCGGGAATAGATGTGTTGGTCTCAGCTGCAAAGAGAAAGAGCCGCCTCTGGTCACAGCCAACTGTCAGATTGATGTTAAGATAGAAACTGTGTTTTGTTTTGCAGGTTTGTTTCATGTCTCAACCGTTGATGCTACCTCATCGATCTTAATCAGCAAGCAAATAAAGGACACCAGAGCATTGTCAAGGCAAGCCATATGCTCTCAGATGCAATAAAAGCATTGTGCTTATTACCAATCGATCATACATATATAAGTATGTAACATACCACAAGCAGCTGAAAATTGTAACAAAAGTTTCCTCTCTTGATACGCATTTCTCCTCCTCTTTTTTTGTTTGTTTTGTTTTGGTTTGACAAACATACACATCTATCTCCCTCCACTAATAGATTAATCAAAACACATCTCTTGTTTCTCTAAGCAAGAACTGTGTTTTTTTTACTTGGAAATTGCAGTGGTGGATGATAAGTTTGTCAAGGAACCAGTGAAAATGCAGATGCATATTGAAAATGCTAACAGGTGCAGGAGACTCTATAAGCACCCTATAAGCACTCTCCATTAGAGGAGAGAAAACAGAGAATTTTTAATAGTGTTGCTTAACCCAATTTTAATAATAAAAAATCTTGTAAGCACTTTTATAAGCTCCGTGCGTTAAGCATGCTCTAATTGTCGTTTTAATTGTCGTTCAAACTATTGATAAAGCAACGGATTAAAAAGTCCGATTTTTTGGGATCATTTCTCATTTGCATCTCTCTCTCTCTGTCTGGACAAATCTGAGTTTTCAATCTCCGCATCGAAAATGGCGAATAAGAGCAAGATTCTGTTCATCGGAGGAACGGGTTACATCGGGAAATATATAGTGGAAGCGAGCGCGAGATCTGGCCACCCAACCCTTGTTCTCGTTAGAAACTCGACGCTCACTAGCCCCTCCCGATCCATCACCATCGAGAATTTCAAGACTCTCGGCGTTCAGTTTCTTCTCGTTAGTGCTCCTCTTCTTTTCCAGTTTCATTTCATAGTGTATTTTTAATTTGGTTTAACCAATAGTTGGCTGCTTCTGTTTTTACGAAAACTGGATAGGGAGATCTTGAGGATCATACGAGTCTCGTGAATTCGATCAAGCAAGCAGATGTTGTGATATCTACGGTTGGTCACTCGCTCTTGGGACATCAAGACAAGATCATATCTGCCATTAAAGAAGCTGGTAACGTTAAGGTAACAAAGACAGACAAACAAAAGAAAACATGTCTAATGTACTTTTGCCTTGTTACTGTCATGTGAAAATCTTGTCCCATAAGAAGAATTGAAAAAGATATAGACAACATTCATCTTCATTTTGAAAAGATTGACACTTGAGCCCATCCCTAATTGAATGTGCTACTTTCATTATTGATTGAAATGCACCGTTTTCAACATCTCCAGAGATTCTTTCCCTCGGAGTTTGGAAATGACGTGGATCGTGCTCACAGTGTTGAGCCTGCTAAATCAGCCTACGCTACAAAGGCAAGAATCCGCAGGAAAATTGAAGCGGAAGGGATCCCATACACTTATGTCTCTTGCAACTTCTTTGCTGGCTACTTCCTCCCGACTTTAGCACAGCCAGGGGCTACTTCTGCTCCCAGGGACAAAGTCATCATTTTGGGCGATGGAACCCCCAAAGGTCAGAGATTTTTGGTATGATCCTCTTACCAATTTTACTCTGTTTTGTGTTTTTGAATTCTTGGCGGTATTTGCAGCTGTGTTCAACAAGGAAGAAGACATAGGGACTTACACAATCAACGCTATAGATGATCCAAGAACCTTGAACAAGATCTTATACGTTAGGCCACCGATGAACACTTACTCGTTCAACGACCTCGTCTCGCTTTGGGAGAAAAAGATTGGAAAAACACTCGAAAGAATCTATGTTCCAGAAGAACAAGTCCTCAACCAGATCACAGGTTTTCATCTGAAAACCTTTCTTCTTCCAGTTTTGTTTATCTATTGTTATGTCCACTGGTGGGGTTTAATGTTTTTCTTCTCTTTTTTCATCCCGCAGAAGCTTCGCCTCCAGTCAGCGTGATGCTATCACTTTGTCACTGCGTTTTCGTGAAAGGAGGACAGACAAGCTTCCAAATCGAACCTTCGTTTGGAGTAGAAGCTTCTGAGCTTTACCCTGATGTCAAATACACTAGTGTTGATGAAATCCTCAACAACTACGTCTAAAGCTTAGTAGCTTAACCCAAGTCACTCCATGAACTGTTTCCAGTATGGTGTCAAAATCCTTTTGTTTTTTTCTTAATAATCTTTAGTTTTGGTTTTCAGGCTTATTAACTTGTCTGTTTCTCCTGTATGATAAATCCAAAATCCAATCAACCGAATAACGATTGAGGCACCATTTTTCATTTTTTCTAGGACTTCTTAGCAGTTTTTTTTTTTTAACATCAGTATTTGTTTTTCATTAACTTTATGACTCTGACTCATGACTCTAATGAGATGTTACCATAGTTTTACTCTGCTCTCATTTGCAGTACACTTGAGTCATTGAAGATATAAAAATCAATTAAAGTAAAAAGTATATCAATGTGGTGTAGGCTAATGTAGAAGTGTAATGCTTATCCTTAACCTACTCTCTCTTGTTGTCATCCACTGTGTATGCTTCACTTTGTACCATCTGATTTTTTAGGGGCCCTTTATAATTCATTAGGTTTGACTAATATTCCAATTTGATCTTATGATTGAAAATCCATTTTACCAAACACCTTAGTGTGACAACACTCGAGATATTATAGCCCATAACAAAAGAGAATCTTCTTATCTTTTTGTCGTCCTTTTATTAACCTAATCATCCAGAGAGAATGTCTAAACTCTAAACGACATTGGAAACGCTATTTATGACTACATTTATGTCGAAGCACACCCCTACACGTCCTGGCAAAATGGAATTGAAATCTATAGAGTTAAAAACATGGACTCTACACAATTCTTTTTTTGCAAAAAAAGGGCTCTACACAATTCTTAACTCCATATGTACACGTTCATAATACTTTTTAAATTATTTGAAGGGGCGTATAAAAGGAAAAAAAAAAGGATTAAAAATGGACTACTAGAAATAGTAATTTTTTAGAATATGTATGATAGTTGTCTACCATCATAATTTAACCACTACCATCGTCCATGTGATGTTTACTACATATTACACATTTTAAATGTCTACTTTTAAAAAATAGTTATAATTAAGACATTGTTGAAGAGCTCCAATTGTAAATGTATCATGATCATTCTTTATATTTAATTAACTAGCATCTAATGTGATTTTCTAAAGAGGCATGTTCACCACAAATACTTGACTAAATCACTTGTAATAATAATAACAAAAAAATTGGTTTATAGATGTCGACAGTTTAAAACGTCCAGAAGTTTTAATAGACCATAGATATGACATATGCGAGAAGAGAGGACAAGAGAGTTGAAAGTCAAAGACATGGGTGCGTGCATTTAGACGAAGGACAGGCAAAAGAACCCAAAACAAATGCACGTTATTTTTCAACCACTTGTTTTGCAAATGAGATGAAATCGCAAACCCCCAGCGTTAGCTTCTTGTTATAAGAAAAATCTGCAATCGATGAATGAAGATTTACGTAATTTTTAAAGAACGTTTTTTCTTTGTATCTGTATAGAACGATGGAAATAACCAAGGCAATGGCGAAGAATATGAATGAATAAGTGAAAAGGAATGAAGAGAATTAATGAATGTATTGAAGAGAATAAATTATGTGACACTTAATCACTGTATAATGACGTAGTCGTTAATCGTTATATGGGATTCTTAATATTACCAATTACGGTCATGGTATTAGAGTGTATCAACACCACACAAAGACGCATGGACACAAAAGAGGAAGAAGACATAACCTAATTATTGTGTGTAAAAGGAGAAAGTGTGAAGTGATTGAAAAAAATACAATAAATTAATAGAGATAAAGCATTAAATCTTACAAACATGTTTGCAGGAGAGTGGGTGAAAATTGAGTCAGAACTTAGAAGAACTGAGACAGACAAAAAACTATTTTTTGAGTAAAACAATGGAGAAAGTATGAGTCTGAACTCTGATGAACTCTGACAGAAACTTTTTTTTTTAATATTTGTTTGGTGAAACAAGTAATGAAATAAATTCGGGCTAACGTGCAATTCAAGCAATCTTTCAGTGATAATGTATTCATTTATTCATATACTACAGTAAGTCTTCCCCACGATCGATCCACAACATCAAAGTTTACAATATAAAAAAGAAAAGAATGTGTCCAATAAATTTAGCTTCTGTCAACTTAGGTTAAGATGTTTTAGCATAAGATATTTATATTTTGTGTAATCCGAATCAATTAGGATGAGATATAAGCTACATACGACTTTCTTGAGGTTGTTCACAATGTAATTAGTGCGAAAAGTTAACTGATTCTGTCATACACGATCTCGACGATGGAGTGTCTAATTGACTCAAACTACTACTACAGAAGATAGATACTTACGAGTTACGAATTACGATTCATAACAAAATATTCATATAATTAAAACTTAAATTAGTTATAGACTTGCGACTTATAGTATATCCAAAAGAAAAGGAGCTTTCAGAGTATCCGACACCCACGTGCAAGGGGAATGAATAAAGTCACAATAAATATTTTCTTTTAAGACTCTCACATTCATTCGCATCATTGTCACTATTTTTATTCACATGTTTTTGAACAAATTGCATTATTGTACATTGAATTGAATTGAATACTTCCACACATTATTTGACTAGGTTATGCTATAAAGTGTAAACACAGACATTTAATCGACAATGGGTAAGATGAATTATTGAACTAAATTTTAACAACAATTTATGAGCCTACTATAAATTTCTGGCAGAGTACTGTTTTAATAGCCTTGACTTATGAGTTACTGTGACTGGTAAGATGGAAGTGGGAACAAAAGCTTTTTAAAATGATTGCACTAACTTTAATGAGTCATTTATTTATTCTAATGATAAAGAATAAAATAATTAGAAAAGGGTCTTTAACGAAGAAAATAAAGAAACTGAAAAAGAATTGAGAGACAGCGAAAAAAGAAAAGCTGGTAACCTCATGGGATGTTTTTGCTTGCTCAATTATTTCGATACTTTTGTTATGATTTTGTTCCATTCTTTTTTTGTTAATCGGATGTGAAAGCTATCTACTTTGTTTATTGTCTAAAGGATGAAGATGTTAAACATCGAGTTGAAATGGATTGATATGATAAACATAGTAGGTTAAAATAGGTTAGATTGAAATGGATCAATGGGTTAAAATTTTATTTTCTTATTTGTTTATTAAACTCATCATGATATCATCAACCATTAAACTTTTTCGTTTAGTTAATCCAACCATCAAAGCAAACATATTTGTAATGATGAATAAAACCACATATATATATATAGTTAAACATATTATATCATAATTCAGCTTGAAGCTTTATTCACCAAGGTTTGGAAACCAAAAATGTAAATAAAAAAAAAATCTGCGTTTTGATTTTGTTACGTCAATTTATTATGTACTTCATTGATGTTAACATATTATACGAATTCTGGGGAGAAATTTCATATTTACGTACAACTAATTACAACATTTGTCTCTGTAAAAGGGAACAAAAGGAAAAGAGTACATTTTAAACGAAAAACAAAATTAGTAATTACCAATGACAATGGAAAGTCCTATCCGAATAACAAAAGTAGACTATATATTCATGTCAATGTTAGTAATTTTCAAATTCTCATTACACACCACCATTTACCACAAATAAAATTCCCTTTTTAATAAGAGTATATTTTTTTCACTAAACATTTTTTACCCTTTGTCCCCAATATTTTACTATTAATTGCCCACTCTCCGTGAAAATAAAACAGAGATTCCACTCTGAGAACACAATCTCATTAACTCTCATAAAGACAAAGATCTTCCTCTTCTTCTTCTTCCTTCTATCTCTCTCTCTGTCTCTCTCCTATATAAACTCACAAGATTATAGTGTTGATCCACCAATCAAACTGAAACAATGGAGAACCCTCCGAATCAAACAGAGTCTAAGCAAATCGAACTCAATGGAGCAAAGAAAAGAAAGGGTGGAATCATCACTATGCCCTTCATCATTGGTAACATATTACATTTGAAAAATCTCTTAATCCCACTTAGCTCTCCTTGCTGATTAAACGTAACGGCAAACTTTGATTTCTCATAATAATTATAAAAAAATCTCTAACTTATGTTGTTAATTATGGTGAAGCAAACGAGGCGTTCGAGAAAGTGGCTAGCTATGGATTATTACCAAACATGATTATGTACTTAATCAAAGATTACCGATTTGGAGTAGCAAAAGGAACAAATGTGCTCTTCATGTGGTCTGCTGCATCAAACTTCACTCCTCTCTTGGGCGCTTTTCTCTCTGATTCCTATCTAGGTCGATTTCTCACCATCGCCATTGCTTCTCTCTCCAGTTTCCTGGTAATTTTCCTCTCTCTCCTCTTCAACTGTTTTCCAAGACTCGACGAACCGGTTCAACTTAACCAATCGGTTTGTGGCAGTTCTTTGCTGACTAATTTTTGTTTGGATTTGAAAATTTTGGTTAATTTATCCGGTTATATGGGTGAATTACGACTTCAAAACGGTCTGACTGATTTTTAAACCGGAATTGAAAGTTCCGGTTCAGCTAAAGTTCTGTAACTGCTTACTAAACTTACTATCATTAGAGTGATAGAATCCGTAACAGATTTCGAAAAAACGGACAACTCTTTTTTAAAGTTCTTACGAACTTTTTCCGTTATATAATATTTTATGCCGACAGAAATATATATTTAATATATTTTTTTAGGATTTTAGAACTATTTTGCAGATAAATTAATTGAACTGTACGAGGTTTTTTTTTTTCATGGCTATATTTTTATAGTTATAGATACTGAATATTCGAATAGTAATATAGTGGAGTGGATTAATTTGATTTCCGACATATTCGTCGTCGCTGACTTGCTGTACCACTGAATAAGGTCGTTCTTTATAAATGACGTCATATAGTGTAATATTCAGTTCTATACAATAATAATAGCTATTGTAAAGTTTTAGTAATTTCACACTTTTCATGTGACTTGTGAAAACAATTAGGACTCCTCCCATGGAAAACATTGCAGCGTTATTTGTTTTTCTTATGTTTGTGTTACACCAAAAGTCATTTTCAAATTAATTTCCTAGCATGCCAATTCCATGTGCTTACATTTTTCTATTGTTATTTCAATAATTGCCAATCGAAATGTCCCTTGCAAGTGGCGTGAGTGACTCATGAGTGACAACAATCCGAACCCATAATTTTTCAGATGTGACAATATTCCATCTAAAAGATAAGTGCCCTGCATATCTAAGAAAAAGGTGTGATTGCATCATAAATATAGACAAAATTAGTTTCTAAAATATTGTGTACACAAATAACTTATTAACATAATAATATAATGGGCCTGATTGGTTGTGGCTGTGGCTTTAGATTTTTGGCTGTAGAGTTTAGGCTGTAGGTTTTAGTGCTGTGGCTTTAGTTTTTAGTGCTCTAAGATTTTTTTTTTGTAGATTGTGTATTAAATGAAATATTAAAACAAAAAAAGAAGATATAGAAATAAGAGATTAAAAAAAGAATATAGACAAAATAATAAGAAAAGAGAAGAGAGAGAATTTAGAGAGCACTAAATTTAGTGCTATAGAAAAATTGCTTTCCACAGCTACGGAACTTCCATAAATAAATAAAATTGCTCTATGTTTCAAAAATGGAAAGAGATAAAAGGAGAGCATGATTGGTAATTTTGGAGTGCTGTAGAGAGATATAGAGCTGTGGAGAGCAACCACAGCTCCCACCAATCATCCCCAATATATAAGTGTGTGTGTGTGTGTGTGCATGCATAATTGCATAAGCGTTTTTGTTTGTATTGCTTAACAAAAATGTAACTTTAACTTCAATGATTGTGAACAAGAAGAATTACTAGGTTTACTTTTATTTTCAGTTCACTTTAAAAAAATAATAATTGTTTGAATGGAAAAAAAATGTATTTCTCGAATCCAATTATTTGGCATGGTTTTGGTTGATTAAAGTCTAGTTTAACCTGTTTAGACACAATTCACAATGCATGGGGACTTTGAGTTTCTATTTTCGCCATGACTATAGACGACATAGAGGTTATTTGGTTTCAGCAATTTTTCAACCGTGTTCATATTTTTGTACATCTTGTCCGATTCTTGGGTAAAGTTAACACTAGTTTTATTCACCCACTTGTAATCTGATGTTTAATTTTGTTACATCGATTGATTTGACATGTTGGCACAGTTATTCAATCCCTATCAACATTTTTGTTTCAGTTTCAGTAGGGTTAATGATATATGACTTTACATTTGACCTACCACTGTGTGCTCGTGGCCACGATTTTGTTGCCGATATGAATATTGGAATTTTCTTCTTGGAAGTTTCTCTACACTTAAGAATGTTTAAACAACGATATGTAATGTTCTGATTAGCGTTTAGTTCAAATCTAAACCGAGTTATCTAAATCAAAACCAACTAATCCAATTATCATTTTTGAATAATATCACAGGGAATGGCGCTTCTTTGGCTAACAGCCATGTTACCACAAGTGAAGCCATCACCTTGCGATCCCACAGCGGCCGGAAGTCACTGTGGATCCGCAACCGCGTCTCAGCTGGCTCTTTTGTATACTGCATTTGCCCTTATATCGATCGGATCAGGCGGGATCAGACCATGTTCCTTAGCCTTTGGTGCTGATCAGTTAGACAAAAAAGAGAACCCAAAGAACGAAAGAGTTCTTGAGAGTTTCTTTGGCTGGTATTACGCTTCATCAGCTGTGGCTGTACTCATCGCGTTCACGGGCATTGTTTACATTCAAGAGCATCTTGGATGGAAAATTGGATTTGGTGTACCGGCGGTTCTCATGTTGATCGCTGCTTTGTTGTTCGTTCTCGCGTTTCGTCTCTATGTTAGACGCAATGTGACCAAGAGTCTCTTCACCGGTTTAGCTCAGGTTGTTGTTGCAGCTTACGTGAACAGGAAACTAACTCTACCAGATGATCATGACTCCTTTGATTCTTATTATCACGTGAAAGATTCTGATCTCAAAGCTCCAAGTCACAAGTTGAGGTAAACCAACTATATATATACATTCTTTCCTTGGTCTCTTGATATCCTTCCGAGCAACTTTTAAACAAAGCATATTATACAGTAACCACGATGTTAGATCTCTTAAATTTTTTTATTCTCTTAATTAGGTTTAAGAGAAAGCTTGCCTTACAAGAAACATGATCAACACACTCTATTGATTAGGTTTTGACATTTGAGCAATGCTTGTTATAAAAGAAACAAATTGTCTCTCTTTACTTTGATACTACTCTCTTACAACACGATGCACTGTTCTGTTTACTTTGATGCTCTCTTGATTAAGGTTTTGAACAAGCCTAAAACATGATGCTTTCTTTTTGTATTTGGTTCTAGGTTTCTGAATAAAGCTTGTTTAATAAGTAACCGTGAGGAGGAGATTGGGTCAGATGGGTTTGCTTTGAATCCATGGAGGCTATGCACGATAGACAAAGTAGAGGAGCTGAAGGCATTGATCAAAGTCATACCCATATGGTCCACAGGTATAATGATGTCCATAAACACTAGCCAAAGCACGTTTCAGTTGCTGCAAGCGACTTCCATGGACCGACGTCTCAGCCGCCATGGTTCAAGCTTTCAAGTGCCGGCTGGATCATTCGGTATGTTCACAATCATAGCCCTAGCCATGTGGGTCGTTTTATATGACCGTGTCGTCATCCCATTAGTTTCAAAGATCCGAGGTAGACCTTTTAGGCTCAGCGTTAAGCTAAGAATGGGATTAGGGCTATTCATATCATTCTTAGCAATGGCGATTTCCGCAATGGTCGAAAGCTTTAGAAGGAAAAAAGCTTTAAATCAAGGCTATGCAAGCAATGCCAATGCTGTTGTAGACATCTCAGCTATGTGGCTAGTGCCACAATATGTGCTACATGGATTAGCAGAGGCTCTTACCGCGATAGGACAGACTGAGTTCTTCTACACGGAGTTTCCTAAAAGCATGTCTAGCATTGCGGCATCTCTGTTCGGTCTAGGAATGGCTGTGGCTAGTCTATTGGCTAGCGTGATCCTCAATGCGGTCAATGAACTAACCTCAAGAAATGGTAAAGAGAGTTGGGTTTCAGACAACATTAACAAGGGTCATTACAACTATTATTACTGGCTACTTGCGATCATGAGCTTCATCAATGTGATCTATTATGCGATATGTAGCTGGTCGTATGGTCCTTTGGTTGATCAGGTGAGGAATGATAGGGTTAATGGTGTGAGAGAGGAAGAGGAGTTGCTTGACATTGTTGGAAAAGGCTACGAGAAGGAAGATCTAAGCGAAGTTGTTAAAAAAAATTAAGGAATTAAAGATCTTGCAAGATTGTATTTTGTCTATAAAGGGTGTGAAAAATATAGGAGTTGGTATTTTATTGCATTCGGTGTGCGTGGTGTCACTCAGTGTTAAGGTCTATATAGTCTCCCTTTGTAATTAGATTAAATTGTGTTTTAGCTTTCGAATGGTTTTGATAAAAGAAAAAAGGGTTATGATCTTTGGCTGTGTAATTTTTCACCGGCCAGATTGTTTGTTTATTTATTGTGTTATATGAATTGACGGAGTCTTTTCTTTGTACATATTATTCGTTTGTGTTCTTATTTTATATGTACGAGATATCTCCTGACCAAAAAAGAAAATAAAGGAAAACAAATTATCTAGAAGTAAAAAAACAAACTTTGTTGTTCTTCAAATTTCCTGGAAATTATAATAGATAGAATTTCTTTGTTGAATAAAAGAACGATCGATAGGGATGGATCATATTAAGTAATTTGAATTTTATCATGTTTTATCAGCCTATACAGTTTCTAGGATGAAAGAATAATACATATATATCAATTAAATTAGGGTCCTAGCTGGTGTTGTAAGGATTGTGGAATAGCTGAACACATTTAAATAATTTCAATATTTTCAGTTTATCACTGCTATTTTGTTAATAAAGTGGTCAGCTTTGTATATTAGCTTCAATCACTCTAAATTTAAACTATAACCATACTTTGATTAAGTAAATGAAACAGAAGTGCAGACTTTTCTATAACTAATCTGTCAGAAAATAAAATTTCAAGATGTGACTTTTAGTTGTTATTGTTTTCATGATGTGAATCTTTATTTTTATTTTTGCCAAATTCATTATTTGAATCTAAGTGTTTATCAATAACCATTTGAGGAGCTCTCTAATTTATAAAACACAAATGCAACTATTTTACACGATAGCTACCAAATAAAATAAGAAAGGAAGAGCAAAAAAATCAATCTCACACTTGTATTGCAAATTTTAATACATATAATACACTTTCATTTTATAATGGTTCGCGAGTAATCATGTGTACCAAATATGGAGGTTAACTAAGAGTGAATGTTTATTTAGACATATATTGATTTGGAGGAGCAAAACTTGGTGCTTCACCTTCGTATTGTCCTTGTCTTTGAGCAAGTATCCCATTCCAACCTGCAATTATAATCAAATTTCTTCACAAATATTCAATAAAAATAGAAAAAAAATTATAATAAAGTCATTTATATATGTCTTCTACGTAAAATTCATACAATCTTTAAATCCAGAAACATCATATTTCTAAACGTATGTAAATGGTTATATACTTAAATCCGGTTTCGGTAGAACCAAAGTACTTCTCTTTTTCTTACCGACTAAACTAACAACTCTTGAATATATATATCTTATTATATAAAGCTGAATGTGCACAACGTGGTTACGACACGTAGGATTTTTATAAAATATAGGATTGCGACATGTGTCACTTTTAATGTTATATCCGTTAAGATCGTGACACATATCTTCGGAAAAAAGAAATTTATATTTTAAATGGTAAATTTTAACATCTTATAATAAAAACGAAATTTTATATAATAAAATGAAAATAATGTAAAAAAATTCCTATTAGTGTATGAAATAGGTATGTAAACTAAATATCCTAAAATTGTATGGAATAGGTTATATAAACTCCTATTTAAAAAAATCTATTAGTACATGTAATAGGTATGTAAACTAAATATCCTAAAACTGTATGAAATTTGTTACATGAACCCCTATAAAAAGGAAGAAATAATTAAAAAATGTTACATCCAATAAGAAAAGGAATAAAAAAACACATTCCCATTACGAAAATGAAAAAAAAACAATATATAACAAGCCATATTTTATAAGTTTCTTTCTCATTAAGAAATAAAATTCATGTCTTTAAAAGTTAAAGATATCAATGAAGAATACTTAACTTTAGATCGATATATGTGTCTAATATTTGATGAAGTGATGACATGTGTCAACACAAGAAAATTGGAAAAATGTAGTAACATAAATAAATAAACTAACAAAATAATATTAAAACAACTAACTAATAATGAAAATGAAAATTTATAATGGTCAGAGGCAAAAACAAAATCGAAAAAGAAACAATATAAATAGAAAACTAACAAAATAACTATTAAGGAACTAAATAAGATTAAAAAAGAAAATATTATAATGGACTGATCTTCGAATATTATATAGTTTAATTTTCCATGTTTTGATAACTAAAACAATATTAAAAATAAAGATTTCATCATGGAATAATCAAAGTTTCATAAAATAATGAGTCGACTAGATTTAGACACATGTAAATTTTTCTATTTCATTTCATGAATTCAAATAATAATGTAAAAGACTACATATCTTTATTTAGAGATTTGTTATCGGGTTTTTAATATTATTTTCTTATTTTTAAAATTGAATTTGTTTAATATTCTTCCGTGATTTAAAAAATAAAAAATAAAAAATAAATAAACCCGCGTATACGCGGGGCCTAATCTAGTATATATATATATATAAGTATATTTGATTAGCATCTGAGTTTTGAGTTAGTACCTAAAGAAGGATCAAGACTCCTGGCCTTGAGCTCTCTGTATTCTTGACAAAGAGAGCAACAAGGACATAAGACATGAGTGACACAATCCGAATATGGAGCTTCCACGAGATTAAACTTTCTTCTTATTTTTTCCCTATACTTTGATCCCATCACCCACTGTGAGCATAGAGCCGGCATCATCAACAAGTATATGAAACCTCCTAGCGGACAAGCTGCGCAGAAACAAATCATAACGAGCTCTAGAACAAATCCTATTAATCAAGAATCCGATTCGATTTCAAATTGTGTAAACAGAAACATACTCAGCTCTCCTTCATCCATCACTTCCGCTATTTGTCCGAATGTCACACACGGCAAGAATGCTGTTATAACGGCTGCACACAGTTTTAAAGGTTAGCGAGTCCATTAATTTTGAAAATTTTGCAAGAAAAATTGTATGGATAATATTAATAGCATACCATTGGTTTGGTCTTCTTGACAATCAAACAAACCAGTCCTCCATGGACTCCCAACAGATAGATTAACCTTAGCTTGGTGATAGTTTGGCGGTGCGAACTGACTCACGGGAACTCCGGTTTGGTGGACCGGTGTACCGGTTTGTTGAACCGGGAAACCATTGTTTGGATTCTCCCCTGGAGAAGTGACACGACCCATTAGTTGATATATATGTAAAGTGTAGTTTGCTGGTTTTACGTGAAGGGGCTACTTTATAGGAGAAGGAGAAGCTTTTTCTCTTTCTCTGACTTATTATCCTTCGCCATGAAATATGTCTAGTGTTATTTAATAGAGAATTTGCGTTTTTCTTATTGATAAGACGAAGAAACTTCAATGCCGTAAAGAAAGAAGAAATTTCGATTTACGTAGTTCACATTGAAAGTTTTGACTTTTCAAAGTCAATGGATGAAATGGAGTACATATGTCTTAATCAAAGTCAACGTCTCGAGTCTATCCTATTGATTAGTATTTGTTTTTAAAAACAAGTTGCGAGCCAAAAATTAAGGTCAGATTAATACTCAATTCATTAGTTTACTCAATATAGAAAATGACATTTCGCTCCTCACATCAAAGACTAAACTAATGGTAACTATCAGTTCCTTTGCTTTATCCAAACCGGAACCACGTTTTGTCTTTTTCAAGGATTTGCATAAGAAATCGATTTGGAAAATTTGTGGGAAAAAAAAAATTTGGACCATTTCTCGATTTGTGCGTGTCATCCTTGCGCAGGGGCCATGCTAATCTTCTCTGTATCGTTCCAATTTTATCGGATGTCCCCGAAGGGACAATCATCTTTGTCACTCCAACGTTATATAAACACAGTTTCGTCTTTCTCTCTGAGCGATGTGGGACTTTCGACATCGTTACAATTTAAATGGGCCTGTTTATCTAAAGGCCAACCTCACTCATTAACCTAAGCCCATTAACATTATATTTGATCATAGTACTTAAGCTGTAATCCAAGAAAGGCTTTTTGCGATTGCAACCTAACCTAAGATAGATGGACGGCTACGTAGTTTGGTCGTATGCGTGTGGATCAGATGTGTATGGTGATAAGTTGATAACTTTATAACGCCGTTATTTCTGGGTTTGTTGTGAATCATCGTGCAACAAGTCCAATCACGGACATGTTCTTAAAGAGTTTCTGGTTTGTTCTAAAATATGATTCGTTCTAAAGATCAGAGAGAATCACAACACCTAAAGCAGAACCAAGTTGTTTTGCTACTATAATCTTCGGATTTAACCAAATGCCAACATACATGTTTGACGATAAGTTTTTTTTTTGTTAAACATCAATAAAGACAACAACTTTTCAGAAATCTAAGCAATGCATAATAGTCTAAGCAATGCATAATAGTAAGAGGCACATAAGATTATATTTTTATTTAAAACTAATAAGAATACATTTCTCAGTGGACCAAAACAAAAACAAAGAATCTTAGATGACTAAATCTATAAAATAATAATACTTCAGATCTAGCCACAAAGATTATTTATTCATATGAATATGGAACTAAACTTTAACACCATCATGATCATGGGTATCACCGCGGCATCATTGGGAAACTCCACAACCCCTAGTGTAGTTGTTAGCTGGAATTTTGACACATGACTTTGGGTTATTGTAGCCGCATGCTGGAATTCTGTCTTTTCCTAGAGGTCCATAACCCAAGAATACTCTTGTTGCTCCGATTCCACAAAACAATGATAATATAATCATTATCGTAACAAGTAGAAAAAAAGTCACACTCTTCTTGTATGCAGCCATTGATTCTCAAAATTTATTTATTTGATTTTCTTTTGCTTTCAGTAGTAAACTGAACAAGTGAATGATGATTAGTTTGTGTTCTTCTATATTTTATAGCTAGAGAGTCTCTTCTAAATAAAGTAGGCCAGTTCATAGTTCATAGTGCATACAAATTTTCTATTTTTTAGCTAGAGAGTCTCTTCTAAATAAAGTAGGACAGTTCATGGTGCACAGTGCATACAGATTTTCTATTTTATAGATAGAGAGTTTCTTCTAAATAAAGTAGGGCAGTTCATAGTTCATAGTGCATAGTGCATACAAATTTTCTATTTTATATATAGCTAGATAGTTTCTTCTAAATAATGAATGTCAGTGCATTTGCATAGTGCTTAGTGCATGTCTAAGACAGATCTCATGTCTATCTATTAATTAACATGTCCTTTTGTGGTTTCCAGTTTTGCTAATAAAGTTTTTACATTAGCTAAAAGCCTGAAAATATCAAAATAGAAATGAGCTTGATAGAAAATTTTATCCCCCTTAACAAATCAAGCAATGGTTTTTGTGCTTGATAGAAAATTTTATCCCCTTAACTAATCAAGCAATGTATAGTCGTTGTATAATTAAATCTTAATTTTAATATTATTGAGCCATTCAAATTATGCTTAACGTGTATTAAATAATGTGGTTATTTAACGTCGAATAAAATTAATTTTGACGTAGATAATTTTACTGGACCACTAGTAAATACTAATTACATATACTTAACGTCCAATAAAAATAATTTTTACTAGTAGAAAAGAAAATTATGAAAGAGTTGTGTATTTATAAGAAAATACTTTATTTGGCTTTCAAATACTATGTTTACAGGTTTTGATGCATGAAACTGGACTAGAAATAACAACCATGTCATGTTACAAACTTGCAAACATATCATCTCCCGATCCAAAGATCAACATACACGTTTACTGGCCAAGTATACCAGCTATCGATTTCTTGACAATTTGGGAGAGCTCTTCTCTGAACATGAACAGAAGAGAATTACAACTTGAGTTTGGTTACAACTTACAAGAACTGCTTTTACAGAAGGACCAAAAATTACCTATCGGGTTTGAACAAGAGAATTACAACACCTAAAGTAGAGCCAAATTGTTTTGCTACTATAATATTCGGATTCAACCAAATGTCAATATATGTGTTTGACGATAAGTTTTTTATGAAAAAAAAAAAAAAAAAAAATTCAATAAAACTAATAATAATAAGTTTATCGTTTTATTTAAAACTAATAATAATAACATTTCCCAATCGACCAAAACAAAACTAAAGAATCTTAGATGACTAAATATATCTTATTATATAAAGCTGGATGCGCGCACGTGGTTGCGACACGTAGATTTTTATAAAATATAGGATTGCGACATGTGTCACTTTTAATGTTATATCCGTTAAGATCGTGACACATGTCTTCGGAAAAAGGAAATTTTTATTTTAAAGGGAAAATTTTAATATCTTATAATAAAAACGAAATTTTATATAATAAAATGAAAATAATGTAATAAAAAATTCCTATTAGTATATGGAATAGGTATGTAAACTAAATATCCTAAAATTGTATGGAATAGTTATATAAACTCCTATTTAAAAAAATCCTATTAGTACATGTAATAGGTATGTAAACTAAATATCCTAAAACTATATGAAATTGGTTACATGAACCCCCTATAAAAAGAGAGCTATGTAGTCTCTTTTTCTCATTCACAAACTCATCAAAGCAAATTCAGAAAATCTCTTTGATTCTCTTTCTCTAATTTCAAAATCATGTCTTTGAAAGTTCAAGAGAACAGTGGAGATTATTTGACTCTAGGTCAATTGGATCGAAATTAAAATTATTTGAATAAAATCCTATTAGTACATTAGGAAAAATCAGAAAACAGGAAACAAACAATTAAAAAGAAAAAATATTACATCCATTATGAGAAGTAAAGAAAAAACATAATTCTATTACGAAAAGGAAAAAAAACGAAAATCAGAAAAACATGAAGAAATAATTAAAAAATGTTACATCCAATAAGAAAAGGAATAAAAAACATATTCCCATTACGAAAATGAAAAAAAAAATATATAACAAGCTATATTTTTTAAGTTTCTTTCTCATTAAGAAATAAAATTCATGTCTTTAAAAGTTAAAGATATCAATGAAGAATACTTAACTTTAGATCGATACATGTGTCTAATATTTGATGAAGTGATGACATGTGTCAACACAAGAAAATTGGAAAAATGTAGTAACATAAATAAATAAACTAACAAAATAATATTAAAACAACTAACTAATAATGAAAATGAAAATTTATAATGGTCAGAGGCAAAAACGAAATTGAAAAAGAAACAATATAAATAGAAAACTAACAAAATAATTATTAAGGAACTAAATAATATTAAAAAAGAAAATTTTATAATGGACTGATCTTCTAATATTAAATAGTTTAATTTTCCATGTTTTGTTAGGTAAAAAAATATTAAAAATAAAGATTTCATCATGGAATAATCAAAGTTTCATAAAATAATGAGTCGATTAGATTTAGACACATGTAAATCTTTCTATTTCATATCATGAATTCAAAATAAAAATGTAAAAGACTACATATCTTTATTTAGAGATTTGTTATCGGGTTTTTAATATTATTTTCTTATTTTTAAAATTGATCAAATTTTGTTTAATATTCTTCCGTGATTTAAAAAAATAAAAATAAATAAACCCGCGTATACGCGGGGCCTAATCTAGTAAAATAATAATACTTCATATCTAGCCACAAAGATTATTTACAGTATTCATATAAATATGGAACTAAACATTATCATCATCATCACCGATATCGCGGCGGCATCGTTGAGAAACTTCACAACCCCTATGGTACTTGACTACTTGTTAGCTGAAATTTTGACACATGACTTTGCGTTTTTGTAGCTGCATCCTGGAATTCTGTCTTTGGCTAGAGCTCCATAACTCAAAAATCTTGTTTCTCCGATTCCACCTAAGATCGATGGACGGCTACGTAGTTTAGTCTTATGCGTGTGGATCAGATGTGTATGGTGATAAGTTGATAACTGATAACGCCATGATTTCTAGGTTTGTGGTGAATCATCTTGCGACAACGACAAGTACAATCACTGAAATGTTCTTAAAGAGTTTCTGGTTTGTTCTAAACTATGCTTCGGTCTAAAGATCAGAGAGAATCACAACACCTAAAGCAGAGCCAAGTTGTTTTGCTATTATAATCTTCGGATTTAACCAAATGCCAACATACATGTTTGACGATAAGTTTTTTTTTTGTTAAACATCAATAAAGACAACAACTTATTAGAAATCTAAGCAATGCATAATAGTAAGAGGCACATAATAAGTTTGTATTTCTATTTAAACTAATAATAATAATAACATTTTTCATTATCATGGGAATCATGGCGGCATCGTTTAGAAGCTTCACAACCCCTTTGGTACTCGTGAGCTGGAATTTTGTCACATGACTCTGGGTTTTTGAAGCCGCATGCTGGAGTTCTGTCTTTTCCTAGAGCCCCATAACCCAAATATTTTTTTGTTTCTCCGATTCCACAAAACAATGATAATATAATCATTATTGTAACAAGTAGAAAAAAAGTCACACTCTTCTTGTATGCAGCCATTGTTTCTCAACATTTTATTTGATTTTCTTTTGCTTTCGGTAGTAAACTGAACAAGTGAACAAGTGAATGATGATTAGTTTGTGTTCTTCTATAATTTATAGCTAGAGAGTCTCTTCTAAATAAGTAGGCCAGTTCATATTGCATAGTACATACAGATTTTATATTTAATAGCTAGAGAGTATTTTCTAAATAAAGATTAAATTAAATAAAAATAAGAATTTTTTAAAAGTTTATTAAATTTTGTATAGGTTCATTCTAAAATTATGGATGAAATCTAAATATATTTGAGTTCTAGTAAACAAGAAATAAAAATTATACTTATATTTTAGTATATTATCATAGATATTTATTTACATAAAATTATTTATTGTAATTATTAATTTATGATATTAATGAGACCATGTATTTATATAGAAGTTCCAAAAGTATTATTATCTTATTATCTTATCGAATTTCGCTAATTTTTACATTGATATGATTTGGGACCGGATAAAATTATTCTTTTGAAAGAATTTATTAATTTATCGAGTACCAATTTATAGAGTTTCTATTGTATTAGTTGGTTACTTAACGTGGTTATTTAACGTCCAATAAAATTAATTTTGAGGTAGATACTTTTACTGGTCCACTGGTCATACTAATTAGATATTTCAATATTGTACTTAACGTCCAATAAAAATGATTTTTACTAGTGGAAAAGATAATTATGAAAGAGTTGTGTATTTATTTTATTTATTCTGTTAAAGGGTCTTCATGAGTTGTGTATTTATAAGAAAATAGTTTATTTGGCTTTAAGAAAAACTATGTTTACAGGCTTTGATGCATGAAACTGGACTAGAAATATCAACCATGTCATGTTACAAACTTGCAAACTTATCATCTACCAATCCAAAGATCACGATCATATATATACACGTTTACTGGCCAAGTATATCAGCTATCGATTCCTTTACACAATTTGGGAGAACTCCTCTCTGAAACATGAACAGAGAAGAAGTTAAAGGAGAACAACTGAATTTGGTTACAAGAACTTCTTTTACAGAAGGAACAAAAATCACCTGTCAGGCTTGAACAAGTTGTTTTGATACTAAAATCTTCGGATTCAACCAAATGTCAACATACGTGTTTGACCATAAGTTTTTAATCAAAAAAATCAAGAAAGACAACAACTTTTAAAAATCTAAGCAATGCATAATAGTAAGAGGCACATAAGTTTATAGTTTTATTTAAAACTAATAAGAATAACATTTCTTTCTTAGTCGACCAAAACAAAACTAAAGAATCTTGGATGAAGATTATTTATTCATATAAATATAGAACTAAACATTATTATCATCATCATCATTATCGCCGCGGCATCGTTTAGAAGCTTCACAACCCCTATGGTACTTGTTAGCTTTAATTTTGACACATGACTTCGGGTTTTTGTAGCTGCATCCTGGAATTCTGTCTTTGGCTAGAGCTCCATAACTCAAAAATCTTGTTTCTCCGATTCCACAAAACAGTGATAATATAAGCATTATTGTAACAAATAGAAAACCAGTAACACTCTTCTTGTATGCAGCCATTGTTTTTCAAAATTTTATTTGATTTTCTTTTGCTTTCAGTAGTAAACTGAAAAGGTGAATGATGATTAATTTGTGTTCTTCTATTTTATATAGCTGGAGAGTTTCTTCAAAATAAAGAAGGCCAGTTCATAGTGAATGTGCTGATGTGCATAGAGATTTTCTATTTTGTAGGTAGAGAGTTTCTTCTAAATAAAGAATGCCAGTGCATTTGTGTTTCCAGTTTTGCTAATAAATCTTTCATATTAGCTAGGAAATCTCAAAGATGTATTCAATGGTGTTTGAGCTTGATAGAAATCTCAAAGATGTATTCAAAGATGTAATCAAACAATGTATAGCTGTCGCATAATCAAATTTTAATTTTAATATTATTGAGCCATTCGAATTACGACACTAATGTGTGGGTATTAGACTATTAGTTGGTTACTTAACGTGTGTCGAATAACGTGGTTATTTAACCTTCAAAAAAATAATTTTGACGTAGTTTTACTGGACCACTGGTAAGTATTACTAGTAGAAAATAAAATATTTGATTTGGCTTTAATTTAAAATACTATGTTTACAGGCTTTGATGCATGAAAATGGACCAGAAATAATAACCATGTCATGTTACAAACTTGCAAACATATGATCTACCAAAGATCAAGATCATACACGTTTACTGGCCAAGTATATCCGCTATTGATTTCTTGACAATTTGGGAGAGCTCCTCTCTGAAACATGAGCAGAGAATAGGATCAAGATAAAAAACTTGAATTTGGTTACAAGAACTCCATTTACAGAAGGAACAAAAATTACCTGTCAGGTTTGAACAAGAGATATCGATATGTGAACCACTGCCAAAAAAAAAAAAAAAAAAATTATGACTAGAAAGAATAATCCACACTCTTCTTTTCAATATTGATCTCAAAAGGCTTACATACCGTAGAGAACAAGATACCAACTAGTTCGAACCCGGTCGAGATAACAGGCAATCTGTCGATTGTCTAATTAAGAAAGGAAAAAAAAAACAATTATTTGTGAAAAATCTCAGAATTGTTAAACATAGACAACCAAAAAGGTTACAGTCTTTTTTATATTAGTGTACCGTGATTAGGTTTAGTGAAGCCCAAAGAGCTACAACAGCGGCAAAACTCAAACCAATAAGACCTAACCGATCTTCAGACTTATCCCACTGTAAACAATTTCACATTCCAAGAAACAGAGAGAAATGCTCAAAGCAAATCTAAGCCATATATGTGACTGAAAAGAGACCAATTTAGTGTTTTCAGGGGCTTACAACATTCTGAATCGAACTAATGACGTTGAGATCACTCGATGAATCGGAATTTTCTCCACTAGCTTTCACCTTAAGAGTAATGCTATGGTTTCGTTTCTCTACAAGGAAGCTCCAAATTGAAAAGCTCCATCTCGATCCAATTAAACAAGAAAAAGGATCAATCTTTACCTCGGATTAGAGAAAATTGAAGTTTCTGAATTGATGTGAGATTGGATTTTCTCTGAGTGAGTAACAATGGCGGAGGCAAGCTTGCAGAAATGGAAGCCATTTTTCTATCTGAAAACCAATTTATTAAAAGATCAGAGCAATAAAAACTGAAACTTTAGTGATTTGTTTGTCAAATTTGAGAACGGACCGTGCAAGTAAGCAGCTTTGGCTCGATTGGAAGCTGTGACAGAAGAAATTTTGATTCGATTTTGGTTATGGATTAGAGAGATAGGCTTATCTGTTCTCTAATCCACGTGGCATCTGTTAAATGGCATACGAATCCCAGAGATGAAAACCCATTTCGCCACGTGTCGGAACAAGATCCATTCATGATTGAAGAAGAATCTCCAGCTATACAAATTACAACAAACCACTCACTTACTTTGGCAGCAACAGAAACAAAGAGAAGTCTTAATTGTTTGTTGGTCGGAGAAACATGGCGTCTTTTGCAACCATCGCCGCCGTACAACCCTCCTCCGCCGTGAAAGGACTCGGAGGAAGCTCTCTCGCCGGAACTAAGCTCTTCATCAAGCCTTCTCGCCAAAGCTTCAAACCCAAATCCACAAGGTACTGTAAATTAAAAAGCTTTTAAAGTTTAGAATCTTGGATTGAGATTGATGAGAAATGATATTGAAAAAAAGGGTCTTACTTTTGGGGTTTGAATTAGAGCTGGTGCTGTGGTGGCTAAGTATGGAGACAAAAGTGTATACTTTGATTTAGAAGATTTGGGTAACACAACAGGGCAATGGGATTTGTATGGATCTGATGCTCCTTCTCCTTACAACCCACTTCAGGTTTTTCAAAATCTCTAAATCCCTAAAGCTGTAAGCTTCTTCAAATTCCAAGACTTTTGAATGTGACTCTGTTCTTTGCTTGCTTTCTTGCAGAGCAAGTTCTTTGAGACATTTGCTGCTCCTTTCACAAAGAGAGGTTTGCTTCTCAAGTTTCTGATTCTTGGAGGAGGCTCTTTGCTTACTTACGTCAGTGCTTCCTCTACCGGAGAAGTTCTTCCTATCAAGAGAGGTCCTCAAGAGAAGCCTAAGCTCGGTCCTCGCGGCAAGCTTTAAATTTAGCTTTCCTTCAAAAAAGTCAGAAACTTTCTTCCCAATTCTGTGAACCCTTTTATGTATATTGTGTTAATTGCTTTGTAAGCTAGTGACTTCTGAGAATCAATATATGAATGAATTAATGAAAATTGCTGTTTCAAGTCTGCTACAACACAATTGTGCTTCTTCATTTGAATCATGGGCAAATGCAACAAGCAATATAAACCTAATTTTACAATAAGAAGAAAAAAAATTAAATAGACTGATTTTCTTCAGGAGTATCTTGCAGTTGGACTCCTCATAGTTCCAAGATTGTCAAGATAAGAACTCTTCTTGTTGGTTGTCATAATACCTGTGACTTTAGACAACAATGGTTTGTCTCGATCTCCAAAGAAGCCTTCTTTCTTCATTTCATTGTTTTTGTTACCCCATTGCATTACATCAGAGAGTGTCCCTGAAGCATTATCATCTGAGAAACTATACCTTTCCTCTTTCGTTTTCTCGTTCTCTCTCGCAACATATCTGTTCTTGCTAGCTGCATTTGAAGGTTCTTGAGTAAGCTGATCAGCGTAAAGCACGTCTTCTATTCTCGACATTACCGTGTGAGCCAAGCTTTCAAGCACTCTTGAGTAACTCTCCAATATAGCAAGTCCTACATCCTGCAAGCAAACAAACCAAAAACCCTAAATCAAGATTTTCTTGAAAGATACAAAAAGAAGAAATTATAAATCAGAATGCAAGTCCTACTTTGTTGAATTGAATCTTGCTGATATCGAGACCGGATTGAGAGATTCCTGGATACCCTTGTTTCAGAAGAAGCAAGATTGTTTCAGCTCTTTCTTCAAACTGTTCTCTTTTCTCAATACTCACTGTTGATCCCCAAGGAGACTTTGTGTCCTTCTGCACCATTTTCCTCTTCCATATCACAATCGACGCTTCGATTCTGTTCTTTAGATCAAGAATCTTGTGCTCAGATGATAAATCCATTTCGATTAGGAATTGATCCGCATCAAAATTCTCTACTGTTATCATTCTGTATATCACATCTCCCAAGCTTGCTCTCCCATTCTGTTCACAAAGATGAAAAACAAAACAGAAATCAGAACAAATGTGCTTTGGAGTCTGATTCTTGAAAGTGGTTTTTAATGTGTTGATTGAATAAATAACCTTAGGAAGTGACTCAAGGTAGCTTTCAGGAATCTCTATTTCAGACAGAACTTGAGCGTTTATCGCCATTGCCGCCTTAAGGACTTGATTCACACATTCTTTCTGGCTCTGTAGAAACCTTCTTGATATCTCAGAGAGACCGTTTGGTGGGACTTTAACCGCCGGTAACCACCATTTCTCATCGTTCCTTTGCTCAGAAGAATCAGGAGAATCTTTTTTGACGTAGTAAAACTCATTTTGATCCCTGAATTTGTCAAGACAATCCTGCAAACAAACAAATATAATGTCAAATCTCAAGAGAACTAATAGAATTTGAGAGATTAGTTTTAGTAATTTTGTGTTGTTGTTGTTCTTACGAGGAGCATTGCATCAAGTTTCTTGAGAGCAGGAATGTTGCAGAGGAGATCTGTTCTCTGTCTTGTTGTCATGACTTCCATTGAAGATCCATCTTTGTTTGTTTGTTGCGTTGGAGCGAACTCAACAATATGATCAGCCACAGAGATAAGCCATCCGATTTCTCTTCTCCAACGCGCTTTTCTGTCCGCTGCCATTGGCTCTAAACGCCGTTGTTCTCCAAACGCAGACGCTGAAACAACAAGAAAACAGAACTTTACACCCACAAACTATAATAATTCATGAGAAAACTGAAGGTTTTCAAAACGCTTTTTTTACCTGCTAGATTGGTAATGGCGTTAGATAAAGCCAAAGCCGATGAAACACCTTTTCCTCCTCCTGACATATCTTCTCCAAGAAGCAATTTCGAAAACTTTTCTTTCATTTGCTCCATTGCTGTAATAACAGAAACAGAAACAGAAACTTTCAGTTTGTTTGCCCTGACTTGTAATCCAAGAATTGAGCCTAACTTGTGACCCAAGAAACCTAGAAGATAGAAATCAATTCATTTGATTTACCAGCTAGTAATTGTGCCTCCACGGATTCCGATGAAGCCATCCTTGGAGAGACCAATTTGTCATTGCGATTTGGCGTTGCGCCGCCGCTTGGAGGCAAAGACGGTCGGTCAACGCTGCTAAGTTTTCCGGGTTGACTTCTGAACATCATGTCATGATGATCATCATCATCTAAATTGTCTGAGCCATCCATTCTTATGGCGCAATCTGAGCTCCAGCTTTTAACATGTCTCGAAGCTGAGTTTTCGCTCATGTTCTTGAAATGAAACAATCTTGAATTGTAAGTCTCTTGTTCTTGATCCATTGCTTTTACCATTTCCAATCAGAAACCAGAAAGAGAATGAGAAGATTTCAGAGTTTTGAAATTTCTTTTTAATCTCTCTGTTTTCTTAATCCTGCAATAAAGAGGAGTTTTAGGGGATTTTGGAGAGAAGAAAAACAAACTTAACTAACTAAAAACGGTGTTTGAATTTCAGACTTAGAAAATACAGAACACCATTTTTTGACTTCTGTTAATGGTTTTGATTTTTTCTTAAAACCTGATTTATTTGTAACTTTTATGATTCGTTGTCCATAACCAGAAACAAGTGATTTTGTCATATTCTTCAGGGGAAAAAAAGTTTTATTTATTTATTTACTTGGAATGTTTTACTATTTATAAGTGTGTACTTGGTGGAATGTGGGGTGCACGATATTAGAAGTCTTAATTAAATGCTTTTTTATTCTAAAAACAAATCTTAAGGCATCAAGAAGGACATGTTACAAAGTTTGTAATAATACCCCATCTGTGATTCTTATTTTTTTTTTATTTCTTGTTGCATGAAATATAAAAGAGCAAGGGCTTAATTAATTAAGGACATGGATGACAATAATCTTGACAGTCCTCTATATTTATTTGGCTACAATTCGTATGGTCGAGAAAATTAAAATCAAATTATGCTAATGATGGATAAGTCTCGTAATGACTCTATTGTGTTGTTGGACATTTTGTCTGCATTGCAATAAAAGGAGTATCTAGAGATCTCGTACATTACGCTTTTACTGATCACAAAAGCCACATGAACATAGAAATGAAATTCTCCACATCTTGGGTCTAGTTGCAGACCAGGTTCAATTCAAACAAAGCTTTCAAGGGCAAAAAAAATTTGATCGGCTCTTCAAGCTTTTTTTCATAGAAGAAGAAGAAAAAGAAACAGGGGATTAAGTTTGTTATTAAGGAGTAGAAGCGCCTTTGAAAATTAGGAACTTGAGTGTCTCCAATTGAAAATAGACGAATGTCCCTTTAGAATGTGTGAAGAAACACCCAAAATTTGATCCCACCACACATTGCCATCCACTCCCATATCTCTCATCAAACTCCTGAATTTAAAAAAGAACAAAACAAAACAAATTAACCAAGTAAAGAATTTTTTATAATCGGAATTTTTTTGACCAAGATATTTGTCATTTAAACTATTTATGTTCCTCAAAATGATTTTACCACAAATTATTTAGTTAGGATGCGAATGTTAAGAGTCAAAAAAATGTGTATGTGTAAGAAGAGTTTTGATATAGAAGTGAAGAAAACTAGAAAAGAGTACCTTCTTGATGTGACCAGCAATAGATTTACAGTCAATGACATCAAAGAGATCAAGAGCTTGAGAAGCAAAAGCCATGGCTTGAACCTGCATCTTCACTGGCATATCTGAATCTTCCACCATTGCTTTTCCTTCCAACATTTCCTCTATCTCTCTCCTTCTCTCTGCAGAGATAACGGACAAGGAAAATTGAATCTTTATATAGACACACCAAACGACACAAATTGAAAAAGATTCCTTGAAAAATCTAATCTTTTCAAGAAAAATCCATACCAAGATAAAAGATGTCTCCTCTTTTATTTTCGACAAATCTCGGAAAATGTGCCAAACCTTTTTCTTTGTCGTTTTCTCTTCACTGGGGGTTTAAAAATGCTTCTTCACGGGTTCTTGGATGCACGAACGCAAAGTACTCGTTCAGTCGTTTGTGTTCTTTAATGGTGAAGTCAGGAATTTGTTTTAAAAATCTACTCAAAATCAAGGTACACTAAAGTATCTGCTTTCGTCATCTAGAAATTATCAAAGTGTAATGATGACTCATTAAAGTTAAAATATGTCTCTCTGTGTCTTACGTGTGTCCATGTCTTTTTTGTTCTTTGACCTTTAATGGATAATGATGGAGAGGTTCATACTTAATTAGTTCAATAATAGTGTCATGTGAAAATTTTGTAGCTAAGCTTTCCACAAAACTCGTTAAAATGTCGGTGTGGCCGTTGGGATCAATAGGCCCATTAAGACGATTCAGGACCCATTTCTCTGATGATGATTCACTAACAAGTAAATCTCTAGAATCCTATTTTTGATCTTAACTTTGCAATGCAAATCATGTTTGATTTTCTTATGACCGTTATTAGATTTATAAATCACAAAGTCATATGTATCTAAATTTTCTAATTAAGCACTACCATCAGTCTTTGTCTTTTTTATTTACTTTTCTGAAGAAACTGAATTTTTTTATACTTTCCAATAATGTGCTTTCATATGAACATTGTAAATTCTCAATTTTGACCACACCTTCTGATTATCTTTGGTTTAGTTCTTCAAACATGCTATTTTTTTCTTAGGTCAAACAAAATGCTATTTTCAACAATCTTTTTTGGTATCTCTTTAATATTTTACTTTTACTTTTTGACCAACACATGTGATTGACTCTTGGCTCCCGCCGTAAATTCTGGTGAGATTTAAGGCTTTTCACTACACAACGATTCGCTTCTCCGATCAATCACCGATCAAAAATCCGACGAAAACAACCCAAAATCACGATGAATCCAAAACCCAGCTCGAAATTCTCAATCTCCACCTTCATTCTCCTCTTACTCCTCAGTTTCTTAATCGTCGCTGCTTACTCATCAACCGACGCAAATGTCGAAGCTAACGAAGTCGGATCCGACGAAGAATCGGACGATCTGGAGCAGCTCCTAGCAGTAGACGAGCAATTACAAGAAGATCGTCCCGAGCATCAACAATCGGAAGCCGAATCAGTGAGCAAGGCCCAGAGAATCGTGCTGGAACTCAGCGGCGACAACACGAAGCGAGTGATCGACGGGAACGAGTTCGTGATGGTTCTGGGTTACGCGCCTTGGTGCGCGAGAAGCGCGGATCTGATGCCGAGGTTTTCGGAGGCTGCGACGGCTTTGAAAGAGATCGGTAGCCCGATTCTGATGGCTAAGATCGACGGCGATAGGTACTCGAAGATCGCGTCGGAGCTCGAAATCAAAGGCTTCCCTACGCTTCTTCTCTTCGTTAACGGCACTTCTCAGCCTTTCACCGGTGGATTTTCTGCGTAAGTTTCTCCCAATTTTGGCTTCTTCGTTGTCAATTTCGACGAAATGTGAGTTTTCGAATTGTAGAGATTAAAAGTGATTTTGTGGAAATTGCAAATGTGAGTTTTCGAATTGTAGAGGTTAAAATCTGTCTCCAGTGAGCAAGTTATGATTTTTGTTTCTTATAGATTTGATCATTTGTGGCATTTCTGAGAGATTTTTTTTGTGTCAATGTGTTCTTCTGTACAGAGAGGATATAGTAATCTGGGTGCAAAAGAAGACTGGTGCACCGATCGTTACAGTTAATACAGTTGATGAAGCTCAGAGATTTCTGAAAAAGTATCATACTTTCGTTGTTGGTCTATTCGAAAAGTTTGAGGTATTTGTATATATCGAAAGATCACTCGGCTTATATTGTAAAGCATGTAGACTTGTTTTGTGGAATGTAATTGTTGATCTTGTTTGTTTGCTCAGGGTTATGAACATGAGGAGTTCGTTAAAGCTGCAAAATCAGACGACGAAATCCAGTTTGTGGAAACAAGCAACAAAGATGTTGCGAAACTTCTGTTTCCTGACCTTAAAACCATTGGCCTTGTTAAAACTGAGGCTGAAAGGTACACTGTATATGGTAAGCTTTTAAAGACCTCTCTTGTTACACTCGTATGTTGTGAGAAGCATTATTAAGAGTCTTTTATGTGACAATGCAGACGGATCTTACAAAATGGAGAATATATTGGAGTTTCTAGGCAGCAACAAGTTTCCGTTGATAACAAAGTTAACTGAAAGCAATACTGTTTGGGTTTACTCCAGTCCTGTTAAGCTTCAGGTTAGATAAGTTTTTGTCATCTCAGTTTGTATCTTTGCTTGTTTGGGATTATGTTTTAATGGTGATTTTGATTTTTGTTTCTTCCTTGGTTAGGTTATGATCTTCGCCAAGGCTGATGACTTTGAGAATCTGGCTCAGCCTCTTGAAGATTTAGCAAGAAAGTTTAAATCAAAGGTGATAAATCTTAAAGGTCAGATGGGTTTAGTCGTTCGTCTCTCTCTCTTAACGGGTGTATTATGTTTCTTGCAGCTTATGTTTATATATGTGGATATTACAAATGAGAACCTTGCAATGCCATTCTTGACATTATTCGGAATAGAAGCTTCGAATAAAACTATTGTAAGTTTCTGATTCTTTATCTTCTACTGATAATAAAGGTACAAGCCAATGTGATTAATGATTAATCTATACTTTTCTTTTCAACAGGTTGCTGCTTTTGATAACAACCTGAACTCCAAGTATTTGCTTGAATCAGATCCATCACCAAGCAATATACAAGTAGGAGTTTGCATTACGTTTTCTCATTGCTCCTTCAAGTATTCTATTCATGTAGAAACTGACTCATGTTGTCTCCATTTGATTTGCAGGATTTTTGTTCAGGACTTGCGGATGGAACCGTTTCGCGTTACTATAGGTCAGAGCCAGTTCCAGACAATGTGAGTGTGAGAGAGATAACATAATGCTCTTTGGATATTTTTGAGAGTGAAGAGACTAAAGAATGTATACGAGCTAAGATCCATTTTTTTCATCTGCAGGAAAACGCAAGCGTAGTGACTGTGGTGGGAAAGACTCTAGATGAGTTGGTTTTGAACAGCCGCGAGAATGTGCTTCTCGAGGTACATACACCGTGGTGTGTGAACTGCGAAGCAATAAGCAAACAAGTCGAGAAGTTGGCTAAGCATTTCAAAGGCTTTGAGAATCTTGTTTTTGCAAGAATCGATGCTTCTGCGAATGAGCATGCTAAACTACAGGTGATTGAAATTTTTGCCTACAGGTGATTCCCAAGAATCTCGAGCTAATCTTGTTGATTTGTTGATGACAGGTTGATGATTTTCCGACGATCCTGCTTTACAAAGCTGGTGAAAAGGAGAAACCGGTAACAATAACCAGCTCACTATCGTTTACTTGTGTTTTTGCAGAATCATTATAAGCTTTCTGTGTAATGCTGAGCCAATTTTGATCTCAATTCGTTTTGCTTTGCAGTTAAAGCTATCAGCTAAAAAGAGCGCCAAGGAGATGGCTGTTTTCATCAACGAAGAGTTGAAACCAAAGAATGGTTCAGCTAAAGATGAGTTGTAGTCAAAGTTTGAGGAAATGTAGACATAAGAGAAAACACAGAGAGGGATTTATAAATGATAGGTTTTGTGACATTACATGATTTTGATATTGTGTGTGTGTGTGGAATTGGAAAGGAAAAAGGAACCCAATTTTCTTAGAATCTTTCATCCAATGAACTGAAAAAAATTACATTTCTGGAAGTTTATAATATTGTATGGTACAAAAATCAAATTTTGCCAAAGAAATCAAAATAATGTTTGTACCAATCTGCAACAAACTTTTGCTTGGTTTTAGCATTCACACCCTGTTGATCTATGTTGCTGACCTCCAGCTACATCAATGGTATCAGGAAGATACCTACGAGAGGAATCAAAGAAGAAGATCAAAATATGCTAGAGATGTATGTGTAGTGTATATGTCATATAGTTGTGGTTACTTACGGTTCCTCTTCAGGTTCGTTCTTGAAAGCATTTTTGGTAATGCATTCGAAAGCAGCATCTACATTGAAACCTTCTTTTGCAGAAGTCTCAAAGTAAGGAATGTTTCCTTTAGACGCACACCATGCCTTTGCTTTCTTCTCAGAAACCTAACAATAGAAGAAAGAAACTTTAGCATAACCAAACTCCAGATACGACTTGTTAGTGTTATCATGAAAGAAAGATGTCTCACCACTCGGCTCTTGCCACCATCAACATCGGTCTTGTTTCCCAACACGACAAAAGGGAAGTTTTCAGGATCTGATGGACTTGCCTAAACCAAATGACACACCATGAAAGAAGCATTGGGTTTATATATAGCAACAAATTCACAAATTTATTTGAGTGGTATGAAGAAGAAAATGATTATTACCTGAATCAAGAACTCTTCTCTCCAGTTATTAAGATTCTCAAAAGATTTCATAACATTGACATCGTACACAAGAACACAACAATCAGCTCCTCTGTAAAAAGCTACTCCCAAACTTTGGAATCTCTCTTGCCCAGCTGTATCCCAAATCTAATGGACAACAAAACAGTTCATTGTCTTAAGAAACACAATAGGAGAATCTAATTGGTACTCAGAAAAGCAAGATTTTAACTTTTTCTGCATCATACACACAACAGTTATAAACAATAAAAAAAAGTCCCAAAGATCCAATAAGAATATTCCAAAGAATCATAATTAAAAGCAATAATTTTTACTCATTCAAACAATGAGACATAGAGCAGAGATTATTACCTGTAAAGTGAACATCCTGTCATCAATCTGAACCTCTTTAGTCAAGAAATCTGCTCCAATCGTAGCTTTATACTGATTACTAAATTTACGATTCACAAACCTAAACAAACAAACAAAAAATTTCACAGAAAATTTAAACATGATTTTATCAACGTACGTAGACACATAGATCTGATTTTTATATAACGTACTGATTCATCAACGAAGTCTTCCCAACCCTGGCACCAACAAAACAAAACAAAACAAAAAAGGGAACAAAGGATCAAAATCTCAATCAATACACAAATCAAAACCGAAGAAACAAACAAAGTTAGAGAAATGTAGAAATCGGATTTGAATTCGTGGACGAAAACAGAAACCGAAGAGATGAAAAAATTACCCGCTATCTCCGAGAATGATAACCTTCAGAAGAACTCTCCGGCGAGAAGACATTGACGGAAAGTTATTTGATTTTTCTTTTCGGCGAAGAAAGTGTCTCTGTTTCTATTTTCCTTGTCTCTCTGTCTGGTTTCTTTGTGTGATTCAGGTGGAGAGAAGTCGAAATTTGCAGAAAGAAAAAAAAAAAAAGTATATTCGCTAAATAACAGCAAGGTTACACACTATTTTGAATTCTTTAATTTCCATAAATGCCCCTCCTTTAATTAGTCATTTAACTAATCTCATTATAAAATTTAGAAAGGAATTACATTACGAAAGAAACCTTCAAACGGTCTAATGGGTCCAATTATTGACTACAAGGAATATTTCTCCTGGTTTAAAATAATATGGTTAGTTTGCAAAGTCACTACAACATAAGATTTAATTAGCAAAATGATTTATAAATGTAATTATATTGGGTTGAACGAGGATATGAAAAAGACCTTATCAATATTAAGGCCAAAAAGTAATAAAGAATCATAAATTTTCTAGGTTTGCATCTCTTTAAATATCTTCACACCAAAAAATGAAATTTGAAAACAACGTGTGAATGATGTGTTTACACCTAAAACCTACCCCAAAATGGTGGACCCTTTGTAATTAGTACCAAGAATTCTCTGTTTTCAACTTCTTGTCTCATCGGTTTTCTTCTCCGGTTCGATCTCTTGCGGTGGAAGTTGGTTTTCGGTGATGCTAGAGGAACCAGACGGGTTCTGACCGGTGGTGTCGCTGGTGGTCAAACCGCTACATTCGCTGCTACCACCACCAAACGTCTGGCTCTCAAGTGCCATTTTCTTGAATTTCTTCAAGTCTTCTTTATACTGCGTTGAGCTATAATCCGAGCTCCCGTCTAAGCTGTATATAGTGCTGTGACCTGGAGTGACTCCTTCCGTTAGGTCATCTAGAGATATGTTTCCTTCAAATGCTCGTACTATCTGCAACGACCCACCCACAAAGTTTTATGAGAAACTCACAAAAAGTTTCCCAAAGTGTTTCAGTTAGTTAGTGTACCTGGCTCATCTTTGGACGGCGTTTAGCTGAATGACGGACACTAGCAGCAGCACAAGCAACCATTCTCGTCATTTCACTTGTATCGTAGTTATCTTCTAACCGCGGATCAACAAGACCGTCGAAGTTGCCATCGTTTAGAGCTTGTATCATCAGAGGTTTCGCCTAAGAGCATTGTCAACAAATTTAGAAGCTTATTCAAAAAGTTGGTGTGAAGTGAATAAAAGAGATAAACCAACCAACCCAATCAACGATGCTGTCATCATCAGCAAAAGGCTGTGATTTATCAACAGGTCTGCGTCCGGTGATCAATTCAAGAAGCACCACTCCGAACGAGAAGACATCTGACTTATCAGTGAGTTTACCAGAAGAAGCATATTCAGGAGCCAAGTAACTGCATCATCACAAGAAACAAGTTAAGAGACTGTTAAGAGTTTGTTTATGGTTTGGAATGAAAGAGCGTTTCATTTTCATTTTCATACCCGAATGTTCCCATAATCCGAGTGGAAACATGCGTATCAGTGTCTAACGAAGACCTTGCCAGTCCAAAATCTGCTAACTGATGAAATCAAACTCCACATTATTACTAGTGAAAGTTGAAAAACAAAAATCTTTACAAGTTTTTAAAATACCTTAGCCTCATAGCTATCATCAATCAGAATATTTGCAGCTTTTACATCTCTGTGTATTGTTTTAGGATTACCTAAAAACGAAAAACAAAAACAAAATCTCTTTTGACACCAACAGATAAAACAAAAACAAACTCTTAGACAAGAACATTTTTACTCACAGTCTTCATGTAAGTAAGACAATCCTTTAGCTGCACCCAAAGCAATCTTCATCCTCTTTGGCCACTCCATTACAGGTCTCCCTTTCTCTACAAACATCACCATATCTTTAAACTCAATTGCTAAAAATTCACACAAACCAAAGCAAGTTAAAAAACTCACCATGCAAATGAAACTCGAGAGTCTTGTTAGGCACAAAGTCATAAACAAGCAATCTCTGAGATCCGGTTATGCAATAACCAAGTAATGAAACAAGATGCCTGTGATGAACTCTACTGATGGTCTGAATCTCCGCTTGAAACTCTCGTTCTCCTTGTCCGCTTCCAGCTTTAAGCTGCTTGATCGCAACCTCTGTTCCGTCTGAAAGAACACCTTTGTGAACATAACCAAACCCACCTTGTCCAATCAAGTTGTTCTTAGAGAAGTTATCAGTTGCTTTAGCCAAATCTTCATATGTGAACAAGTTGTGTGCAATCTCTGAGTTGTTGGTTGTGCTACTTTGATTCCACTGCTCAAGATTATTAGTGTTATCTACAAAATGATTGGTTTTTCAAGTCATCAAAAATTCAAGCTTTCACAGATTCACATAAACCAAACGAAATCAACAGATTCAGAAGCGAATAAAAACAAAGGAATCGAATATTTTAAAGAAGTAATACTAATATTTATAATAATAAAAACCCTAGATTTTCGGGATGTTGTCAAGAAAGTTACCTAATTTCGGATCTCCTCCATTAATAGCAGCTTCGGCGTCTCTTCGCTTCAACTTCCTCTTCTTCCTTTTATAGAAGCAGACGAAAATACAGACTCCGATTAGAACAATCGTAGCTCCGAGAACTACTCCAGTAATCAGCACCGCTAATGCTGCCCTCCCCAAGCCTCCGTCGTCTGCACGAGTCGCCGGAGGTAGAGAGGCAGGTCTGATGAAGGAAGGCGGAGAAGGAGAAGAAGACGACGTCGTTGAGTTTGCTTTGGTGAATGGAAACTCCGGGTCCGGCGGGTTTGCGACGGAGGGGATAGTGTTGTTGTTCGACGGAGACGATGACATTAGATCAGAATCAGATGATGATGATTTGGTGTCACGCGAGTTTATCACATGGCGGAAGTGAGAAGAATGAGGATGAGGAAGAAGACGAAGGAAGGAAGAGTCATGTGGTAGGTCCCACTATTAGAGATTCTTCTGCCAGTGTCTGTAATAATTCTCTCTGGTCGTCGTCACTCTCTCTGTTTCGAAGCCACACAAACCTTTATTATTTATTTGATTTTTTTTTCACTAATGTCTAGCAATATTCAATTGTTTTTTTCTTTATACTAGTGAATAATGTTTTTTTTTTTTCAAAATAGTGAATAATGTTATCAGATGATGTTTCTGCTTTGTAGAGAGTCTTAACTTGAAAATGGTGGAATTGGCTGAAAAGTAGTGTAAAATCATTTGGATGATTTGAGGAATTTGACTGAAGAAAAAAAAAATGGAATGTGAGGAAGCTTCATGAGAAAGAGAAAAAAAGCAGCTGGACGAAGTAAATATGGTTTACATTGTCTTGGTCTGCAGTCTGCCTTCATTGGTGCTGTTTGTTTAGTTTTTATTTGCCTTTTAGATGACAAGTAAAATCAAGGGACAAATACAGATATGAATGCATACCATTAACAAGTAACCCTTCTATTTCTAGTTTGTTTGATTAATATCTCTACGCGGTACACGCATCATATTAACCAACGCATGCTTCAGATTTTACTTAGTTGTTATGATTTACATAAAAATCAATTTATTAGGTAGCAGACGCCAAATGTTTGAATGCAATAGTCCAGGCAAGCAATGATCGTATCCCATATATTCCGAAGGCATAATAAATTGGTATAATCAACGCAAACAAAACATTTATTCAATTTTCAGAAAACAAATAACAGCGCGAGCAAAACAACCAATTCATTTTGAATTCTAAAATTCGTAGACTGGAGAATATTCAAGGAAAACCAACCAGCAGATAAATAATCCTACCATTTATGGCTAGTTCATAAGCAAATTAGTGAAATTACGAAGGATTGCGATGGACACAAGAAACAGAATTGATGAGAGATAAAAAAGGTCTTGCAAATTGTAGAAGAAACAGAATTGTCATCCAAATTCAAAACTTTATAGAAATGCTCAATAACAGAAATCCTGAGAACAAACACAAAAGCCAAAATCTAAGTCCTTTTACCCTCCAGGCAATACTCAAAACCCAGTTTAAGAAGATGCAGCTGCTCCCTTGTTTCTTGGCTTGGCTTCGGTTCCTAAGAAATGAAAAAAAAATGTGCAAAAGATCAATTACCAAAACACTTTATCTCTCGTCAATTCAATAAAGCGAAAACAAAAAAAAACAAGGTAAAAATGGAGGAGGAACATACCCTCTCTGAAACCAGTCTTGAATCTGCGAGGAACATTGCGAAGATACCTCATCCTTCCAGTTCCGGTCGTCTTTCTACGGATTGCCTTCACACTCCAGTTGTCTAAAACAACATCAATACACGCAACAACAATCAGAACAATCCACAAATTGACGATCACAAAATTTCGAAATTAGAAGACAATAGAAACAGAGAAGCTTCACAAGATGTATAGTTATTCATAGAAACAAAGAAGATTCACTAGTTATAGAACATATCTATGCCTAACGAAACCCTAATTCTGATAACCCAAATTCTAATCGTACTTTACTATATATACAATTCATAGAAATGAAGCCAATAGAGGACGAACATAGCAGAACAAAGCAGATGATTTTCTTCAAATGTAATCTGTTTTCTATCTTTGTCACACTAATTCTGATTGAAGATCAATGAGACTTGCGATACTCAATACACCATAATTCTACAGGAATGAAGAACGATTCATTTCTCAATTGATAAGGATCTAAAAGGCGAATATAAGCAGCTGAGAGGGAGAAGAGAGATACATACACGTCCTCTTGCGAGCGGCGGGGTAAGCACAGGCGGAGCAACGGCTCTTCTGGATGTGGAAACTGCGACGGCCACATCTCACACAGAGTGTGTGACTCTTGTTCCTCCTCTTTCCGAAACTTCCCGTTCCCTTTGTCTATATTCCTCAAAGACAAAACACATCCATCAAAACCAAATCAGTAATCGTTATCAGCAAAGCATAGAGACGAGATAGATAAACCAGAATGAGAAAGGTAGAGATTGAAAGAGAGGATTGTTAGATCACCATTGCAGCGGATGCGAGTAAGAAACGCCTCTGGGTTCCGGCTTCAACAAAGAGAGTGACGGGAGATGTGAAGAAAATCTTTATATAAAGCTAGGGTTTTCTTCGTTTTATATTAGGGTTTCGATTTCATCGATTAAGCCCATGGGCCTTTAAACTTACCAAGCCTTTTTGTGATGGGCTTTTCCGAAAACAATAATCAGATTAAGCATCTGTCTGACCTATAGCATTGGAAATCTTATTTTCGGTTTGTGGAATTTTAAAAAGTGTTAGTGTGTTACTTACTGTTTTGAAGCCTAATTTATTCGTTTGGAAAAAAATTATGAATTGCATTTGGTCCAAAGTTGTTCAAGTGTCCACTTTTAATTAGCAGTATATAATTGTATCGACAAATTGCATGTGGTTTGGTTTGAATCTCAAATTTCAAGATACACTATTGTTGATTGAATACTTGGGGAACATTTCATTCCATAAATGTGTGGTTTCTCTTCCAAGTAAATAACTGTTTTTTACAGATGGTCTTATTGAGTTTGTTTTCCATTTTTTTTGTTTTGGCCATCTTGTTTCCTTTTAACACATCCTTGTGGAGAACATATAAATTCACGCACATCGATTATTTCTATGTTACTATAAGAAAGCTCCCTCGCGATCGTCAAGAGAAGGTCTGATTTGGACACACAGAATCACAACACACCATATTTCTCTGTTAATCCACAGTTCCTCGTTCATGGTACATTTTTTTCCTTAATACTTTCGATCAAGTTTATTTTTTCAATAAAACCCCAAAAATTTTGGTTTGTCTTTTGATGGAATTGTTTTAATTTGACGTCTCGTTTAGGTGATTGTGCCATTGTTGAGTTCAGTGGTGAAACTAGTCGCTGCAGTGGCCGCAAAACCGGTGGCCTCCGTCTCCGTCCTACTATTATACGGTGGTCTTCTTCCTCGGAATCTACAATTAGAAAGATTAACCGGCCGTGAATTTACACTTGATGACAATGACTATCTTGTCCGATTTATAGTATCTTTTTTAAGATGTTTATGTTAGTTTTCTTTTTCTACAACGGTTTAAAGATCTAGGCATTTTTGTTTTGTGATAAAAAAAAATATAGTTCCACTTCCATTTGACAAGAAACAACAAAATATCGCAGCTGAAATTCCAAGGTATTATTAATTAAAGGTTGATAGTTTGGTCACTTGAATTAGTATGACACTTGGTCCAGTTCCAAACCATGATGTGTAAAACAAGGTTGTGACAGTACATTAAGATAGTGTAGGGTGATAAGTTGGAAAATCAAGTAATTAAGGGGTCAAGACTAATTTCATAAAGATAAGGGAAGAAACAAGAATAAACGAATTTTATTGTCTGAACTACCCACTGACTTGTCCGAAGTCCGACTACTGTCTGCTCCATAAATTCGCCATTAAAGACTTCCTTTGTTTTCTCTCTCTATCGTCTCCTCTGCAATTGCATAAACCTAATGGGCAGCGAAAGCCCCATTTCTCCCTACTCTTAATACAACCTAAGCCTATCTTTTTCTTCTCCATGTTATGATCTAGTCGGCAATTTCTAATTTTCCGATTTTGTTCTTCCGGCCGACGAATCATCTTCTCTTTGGCGGAAACGGGTTTCTGATTTGTCAAATTGAAGCTCAATTCGTTTAATTGTTAGGGTTTATGAAGCTGTAGTTATGGAGCTAAATTGGGTTTTCTTTCGGAAACAAGCTCTACTTTTGATTTCTTGCCTGACTCTGCTTCTTCTCGCGTCCTTAGATACTGTAAGTAAAAATACTCTAACGAATTAGGGTTTCTGAAAGCTTCTTCTCCTTAACTCTCTTGCTAAAATTGTTCAATCTTTTAACAGATTTGAAATGGTAATATTTGTAAAGACCAAATTTTAAAATGGTTTCAGATATCAAGCGAATCAACTCCGAATGCAAGTGATTTCAAGAATAGATCTCACAAAGGTAAAGTTGCAAACTACTAATTAAAAAAAAAAAAGGAGAAAATGTGTGTTATTCTTATTTCCTCTAATTCTTGTGGCTGATGTGAACATATCTGAGATTTTTAAGACTTGGTCAAATTGTTTCTCTCCATCTACAGTTTCTTGCCTTCCTGATTGGTTCATTGGACCGAACCAAACCAAATGCTATTCCTACTTCAAAAACTCAACTTCATGGGAGAAGTCAGAGATGTTCTGCAGAACCTATGGCGGTCACTTAGCATCACTTGCATCGAACAAAGAACTCAGCTTTGTTCAGAAACTATGCAATGGAAACACTAACAGCTGCTGGATCGGAGGAAAGAGCATGAACTCTTCTTCTCCCTCCTCTGGTTTCCATTGGAGCTGGTCCGATCCCAAGTCTCCTCAATGGAACCAATCCATGTTTCCTAAAGTACCACTTCATACACGATGTGGCAATGGCAACGGATCTTCATCTTCTTGTCGTGCTAACATTTGTATAGCCGTGACAAACGGTTCGTCACCAATCTTCGGTGAAAGATGTAACACGTCTCATGCTTTCATTTGCATGGTTGATTCAGGTAATAGCCTCCCTCTACAGTTACAAATGTTTCAACTTTAAAAAAATGTAAACTTTTTGATACAGTAGAGATCATAATTTGTCTGATTTTTCTCTTTCTTTTTTGCAGATTTCAAGTGTCGCAACTGTCATGGTGAATATCTAATCATCCTCATAGTCGTAAGCGGTTTAATTCTCTTAACCACATTCGCCATTATACTATGGTTCCTCATCTACAAACGAAGCAAGAAACGTCGAAAATCACGAAAAGTATCGAATCCAGCCTCGGCTTTAGCTCCTCCCTCGTGGAAGATCTTCACAACCGAAGAGCTGAGATCAATGACCAAGAACTTCAGCGAAGCGAACCGTCTCGCCGGGGACGCCAAAACCGGCGGAACATACAGAGGCGGTTTAGCAGACGGTACGAAAGTAGCGGTCAAGAGACTGCAAAGGTCTACTTTCCAGAGGAAGAAAGAGTTCTACTCGGAGATCAGAAGAGCCGCGAAGCTTCATCATCCCAATGTGGTTGCCATCAAAGGTTGTTGCTATGATCATAAAGACCGGTTCATTGTTTACGAGTTCATAGCCAATGGACCGCTCGATAGATGGCTCCACCATGTCCCTAGGGGTGGTAGGTGCTTGGACTGGACCATGAGATTGAACATCGCCACAACTCTTGCTCAAGGCATCGCGTAAGTCAAAAAATATTATACTATACACATTTTGGTTTTCTTCGGTTAGGGTTTGAAAACGTTTACGTGTGAAACAGGTTTTTGCACGATAAGGTGAAGCCGCAAGTGGTGCACCGAGACATCCGAGCGAGCAACGTGCTGCTCGACGAGGAGTTTGGAGCTCATCTAATGGGCGTTGGGCTCTCGAAGTTTGTCCCATGGGAAGTGATGCAAGAGAGGACGGTTATGGCGGGAGGGACGTACGGTTATCTTGCGCCGGAGTATGTTTACAGGAACGAGCTCACGACGAAGAGTGACGTTTACAGCTTCGGAGTGCTTCTGCTGGAGATTGTGAGCGGCCGGAGACCGACTCAGGCGGTTAATTCGTCGGTTGGGTGGCAGAGCATATTCGAATGGGCTACACCGTTGGTCCAAGCGAACCGGTGGTTGGAGATTCTTGATCCGGTTATTACTTGTGGTTTACCGGAAGCGAGTGTGGTTCAGAAAGTTGTGGACTTGGTTTATTCGTGTACGCAGAATGTGCCGTCGATGCGCCCTAGGATGTCTCATGTTGTTCATCAGCTTCAACAATTGGTGCCACCACCACCATCAGAGATTTGCGTAGTTTGATTTTACTTTTAAGCCCTTAGTTAGAAAAAGGTGAAACGATGACGTGTTGGAGAAGTTTTATAGATTGGTAAGGAGCTTGTTAACTAAGTAGCTATATATAATCACTTGAACTTGCCCTGTAAGTTTAGGACTCTGAGACTCTCTATAAATAAGCTAAAAGGTCTCAAATTATAACAGAGCGTTATTCAACAACAAAATTATTGTTCTTTCTCTCTGAAATTGGTTACTTTGCTTCATAGCTTTTGCTATATTCTGATTCCGATTCTTCTGAACTTTCAAACAAAAAAAAGCTTAGATCTTTTCCAAACCCACTTCGGTTTTTGTTTTGTTTTGCGGGTTGATTTGATTCAAAAGGAAGAATGTTTTGCGGATTCTTCAAACCCAAGTTCTACAAGAAAGGGTTAGCTTCTTTCTTTTTGTATCGAATGAGTTTGAAGTGTTCTGTTTTATTATTCTAACATCTTTGTTCATGTGATGTGGATGCAGCAAATCTTCGATCAAGTACATCAAGATTCGGCTCGAATTTATGAGGAAAAAGAGGAATGCGATGGTCTACTATTTGAAAACAGACATCGTGGAGATTCTCAACAAGACAGGCCATGAACATGATGATATAGCTTATAGAAAAGTAAAGAGTCCTCTTTCACTTAAATATAAATCTTTCTCTGTATTAATATTCCTCTGCATGTTTCTTAACCTTTTAACTTGATACCACAGGTAGAAGAATTACTCGAAGAGCTTAGGATAGTATCTTCTTATGATCTAATCGAGCGGTTCTGTGGCTGTATCTCTTCCAATCTCTCGTCAATGCAGAAGCAAAGGTATCATCATGCTTTTTCAAACAATAATCTCTAGGGTTTCACTCTAGAAAGATCCTAACTTTTCTGATTATGCTTTTTGCAGGGAATGTCCTGAAGAATGCAGAGAAGCTGTTTCCTCTTTGATATATGCAGCGGCAAGGGTTCATAGATTTCCTGAACTTAAAGATCTTAGAGCTTTGCTTACTCGTAGATATGGAAATTCCATTGACGACTCTTCTGTAAATCAAGAGGTTGGTTTGATTTGTTAATACTCTTATAGTTAAATTTTTGACATTCTTGGTAATTAAAATCCATTGTTGTTTACAAATCTTTGTGTAAAAAAACTGCAGCTTGTTGAGAACCTTGTATGGCGAAAACCTTCAAGAGAGGTTAAGATTCAGAAATTGGAAGAGATTGCTCAAGAATCTGACATCAGATGGGATTCTTTATCTCTGCAACTGAAGCAACTCGAGCATACTTCAGCTTTGCAAGTAAGAGAACAAAAAATACATTTCTTTGCCCTAGAGTTTATATAACTTCGTTGAGATTTTGTGTCTAAATGTCTGATATTATTGTAGATTGAGCAGAACGAGACGAGCAAGGTCGAGAAAAGAGCGAACTTAGAGACAGAGAAAATCATCACATATGAACAAAGTGAGGACGAATCGGTTCTTTCACAGAGTTTGGGAAGAGATTCATTTTCCGAAGGGAGATTGAGTTCTAGTTCAAGTTCGAGTTCGAGTTCTAGAAGAAGAGAATCTGTACAGAAGAAGAAGATTTTGCCTTACGGAGTAATCTCTTCTCCATACACGAAACCAGAACCTCGGAATGATGAAGAAGGGCAAGAAGAGAGTAAAGAGAAGATGAAGAGTATTGATCAAGAAAGCTCAAGGTTACTTGGACCACAAGTTAGGGAGAGTCTCACGAACACAAGCAACAATGAAGCTTCCACAACAAGGGAGAAGGAGAGAACATCGTTGTTTCAGAGACCTAAGCTCCTGGATTACGATGAAGTGGTGGATCGTCTTGCAGCTCTTCGCCGGAGTTAAGGAGATAACTAGTAACTAGTAATGAGGGTTATCTCTCGGTAATTAAGTTTAAATCTACTGATTAGATTTCGTGAAGCATGTAATTATCGCTGTAAGTTTGTAATTACTCCACTAGTTGAATCTTGTCACAGAAAAAGTGGAAAGTAACCTAGAACACAGAGAAAAGAGAATGTATTAGTGGTTTTCTTGTTATAACAATATAGATTTCGATTATTTTTAATTTCATGACAAAAGTACAATAATCGTCTTTAGTTTATCAATTTATAGTTTGAAATATGGGTAAGCATAAAGGTTATTCTTGTGCTTGTTCAATGGTGGCGAAGCCGAAGCCTTTCTTCAGGAATCTAGAGGAAACAGAACCAAATTGTTCTTGTGGAAGCCATGTAAAAGCATCCCTTCCTAAAATGTAATAAAATAATTATTATGGATATATCCAAGGTGTTAAGGATAAGGAGAGAGTTTACATTATGCTATAGTTAAATCCCATGTATTTAGGAGTCCTAATGTTATCATAAGTCGTGACATGCTTGTATATATACTTGAGTTGTGTTTGTGAATAAAGCAAGTCAGTTAAACATCCTTATTCTACGATAATTAAACACAAAGCTCAAATAAAGATATATGTTATAAGTTATCCTTCTGTTAAAAATTAAGTATTCTTTTAATACACTCCATGGAATTCATAAATTTTCTACACAACAAGGTCAAATCCACAAGTGGTGCACCTGTGGAGAGTGATTCAGGAAGTTGTAGACTTGGTTTAGTCTTGTTTGTACTCAGAATGTGCCATTGGTGCGTCCTAGGATGTCTTCTGTTGTTCATCAGCTTTAGCAATTGGTCCATCCTCTAGAATCTCTAGATGTGAAGTAATTTACAACATAATCCCAAAGACCCTTTTTGTTTGACTGAAGAATCTAATCTAAGGACATCTCCTTGTTTAATGACTTTTTTAATGCAAAAAGACAAACGATTTCGTATCAGTGAAGGTTCTTGGAAAATTACAGCGAAAGAGCTTGTGAACTAAGTAGTTCTACATAATTAATTGAACTTGCGCTCTAAGTTTTAATATTTAAACACAAGAAAACTAAGTTTCATATAATTTTATAAAGACCATATTCAAAGCATTTCAAGAAAAGTCTTTCTTCTTTTGGATTTGGATAAACATATTTTTTTCCTCGTCTTTATCTTCTTGAGAAGAAACTTTTTGGTTCGTTTCTTTGCTTCATAGCTTTTGCTATATTCTGATTCTGAGTATTTCTTCAACTCCGTTCACTAAACCACCTGTTGATTCTTCTTGATTTTCATATAAAGCTTTGATATTTTTGCCTTCTTCTGCCTCAAGAATCGAAGAAAATGAAGATGTTTCTTAGGTGCTTCAAACCCAAGTTCTACAAGAAAAGGTTAGCTCTCTTTATTCTTTTGTCAATATTTTTAACTTATAATTTTTGTTGATTTCTTAGGTATTAGTTAATCCTTATTTATGGTAAAATGCAGCAAATCTACAACCAGCTACATGAAGATTCGGCTTGATACGGTGAGGAGAAGGAGGATTGCAATGGTTAACTATTTGAGAATGGACATTGTGAATTTTCTCAAGAATGGCCATGATTTTAATGCTTATACAAGAGTATGACCTCTCTCTTCTCTCTCTAATTCTAATGCTAGTTCTAATTATAAGCTTCCTCTCTTATTAAGGGTTTTTTTAATCAGTCAGTTTCGTGTTATTGTAGGCAGAAGTATTACTTGAAGAGCTTAGAATCATATCGTGTTATGATATCATTGAACGATTCTGTGATTGTATCTCTAAAAATCTTTCACTAATGCTGAAGAAAAGGTTCTTCATTTCTCTCTTTTTTATAAATTTCACTCCAAAAAGGTCTCAAGATTTTACTAACTTATGTTTCTTATTAGAGAATGTCCTGAAGAATGCAGAGAAGCAGTTTCGTCTTTGATATATGCAGCGGCGTGGGTTCCTGATGTTCCTGAACTTAAGGATCTTAGAGCCGTGTTTACGCATAGATTTGGGAATTTCATTGATTCCTGTGTAAATCATGAGGTTAATTGGTTTTTTATTGTACTTAATTAATGTTAATCTTGCTACATTTGATTTCTTGAACTGACAATATTCTTGTTTTTGTTTTCTTGAAATCTTGCAGCTTATTGAGAAAACTGAATTGCGAGCAAGACCATCACGAGAACTCAAGATTCAGACAGTGAAAGACATTGCGAAAGAGTTTTCGATTGATTGGGATCCCACAGCTCTGAACCTGTTGCTGCTTAGACAAACTTCAGCTTTGCAAGTATAAAATATGCATTTTAAAATTGATTTAGAGAAAAACATGAATCTCTCAGCTTTTCTTGGTCTAATGTCTAATAAAAATATGTAGATTGAGGATAAGGTGGAGAGAGAGAGAATTATCAGAGATGATCAAAGTGAGGATGAATCGGTTCTTTCAGAGAGTTGGACAAAAGATTCATTGTCCAAAGGAAGTTTGAGTTCCAGTTCAAGCTCGAGTTTTAGTTCTCTAAGAAAAGAATCTGTAAGGAAGAAGATTTTGCCTTACGGATTAATCTCTCCTCCATACAAGAAACCAGGAGCTAGAAACGATGAGAATGCACAAGAGGAGAAGAAAGAGAAGAGAAAGAGTGCTGTTCAAGAAAACTCAAGGTTACTTGGATCACAAGCTAGCGTGAGTCTCACAAACACAAGCAACAAGGAAGCTTCCTCAACAAGAGAGAAAGAGAGAACGTCGTCGTTTCAAAGACCTAAGCTCCTGGATTACGATGAAGTGGTGGATCGTCTTGAAGCTCTTCGCCGGAGATAAGGGTTTCTCTTTGTGATTAACTAGCTAGTAACTAGATTTCATCAAAATATGTAAATATCGTTTATTAGTTTGAAATTAGTCCACTAGTTAATTCTTTTCACAGAAAAGTGGAGAAGTAATAGAACATACTGAGAAAGAGAATCGATTAGTGCTCTCTTGTCATAACAAAAAAGATTATTATTAAACTTAATTATTTGTTTGTAACAAAAGTATGTATTTTATTTAGTGGTTTATTTCATAAGCATAAAGCTTATTTCAGTACAAGCCTAAGCTGAAAAAGTTTAAAGAAACCGAACCTCTGTTCTCATGGGTCCCATGAAAAGCATCTTCCCCTAAAATTTAAGTATATAAAAGAATTCCAGATAAGATACATTTCTTAAATTCTCATCTTCATGTTCCATGAAATTCAAAGTCACTTTCTTAGATATTTAAACCTGTTTTTAGTGCATTTCTATTTTTCTAGAAAATATAATAAATTATGGTCTACTCCAAAGAAATATAAAATAGTTAAGTTTACACATAAACGGATTAGTCTTATCTCTCCTCCCTATTATCCTTAGTGATTAATTTACAAAAGATTTTAGGCGACAAAAGAAAACAAAAATTTGAAAAGTAAACAAACGTTATATTCGTTCGTTCGTTACCTTTAACTTTGTCCACGTCATTACCCTGAGTAGCCCAACAAAAATTGGAAAAAAAGAAAAAGCCGAAATTGCCTTTTCTAACAACTGGAACGACGTCGGATTTACTGAAGAAATGGAAAGTAGAAAGTAGAAAAACCATTCCATCAATTATTCCCCAAAGCTTCTTCAAAAACTTAACTCAAAAGCTTTCGAGTCTCACCTGAGAAACTCTCTTTATCTCTCTCTCTCTCGATTCGATCGATCTAGTGAGTGAGAGAGCTCGAGTTGCAGAAGAGGAAGAAGATGGGTTGTGCTCAATCCAAGATCGAGAACGAAGAAGCCGTTACTCGCTGCAAAGAGCGAAAACAGTTCATGAAAGAGGCCGTCTCTGCTCGTAACGCTTTCGCCGCCGCACACTCAGCTTACGCCATGGCTCTTAAGAACACCGGAGCTGCTCTCTCCGACTACACTCACGGCGAATTTCTAGTCTCCGGTCACTCTTCCTCATCCGCCTCCGCGATCGCTCATTCCGCCTCCGTCCCCACCGGTGGTTTATCTCCTCCTTCTTCCGCCGCCGCTTCTTCCTCCTCCGCCTCCGCCGCGATCCCTCAGCCTCTTCCCGATACTCTCCCACCTCCTCCTCCTCCCCCTCCGCTGCCTCTCCAGCGTGCTGCTACCATGCCGGAGATGAACGGTAGATCCGGTGGTCCGTCTGGTAATGGACTCAACGGGATTGAAGAAGACGGAACCCTAGACGACGAAGACGACTCCAAATTCGAGAATCATGACCGTTTGGTTAGGAAATCGAAAAGCCGTGGAGGTAGCAATAGAGGTAGGACGATGATTGAGGATCACCAGGAAGCTCCTCCTCCTCCTCCTCCGCAACCCGTGGCGGCGAATTCAAGGCCGCCGATTCCACCGCCACGTCAGCAGCAGCCACAAGAGCATTTCGTCTACGATTACTTCTTCTCGAGTGTTGAGAACATGCCTGGAACCACTCTAGAGGATACTCCTCCTCCTCCTCCGCAACCACAACCACAAGCAAAACCTGCGCCTCCTCAGCCAACTTCACCATCCACAGAGGAGGAGGAAGAAGAAGTATCAGAAGAGGAGGAGGAGGAGGAAGAGACGGTGGTTGAACGGAAGCCACCGGTGGTGGAGGAAAGGCCGAAGAGAGTAGAGGAAGCGAGTGTGGATTTGGAAAAAGCTGCTAATTTGAGAGGGATGAAGAAGAGCAAAGGGATTGCGATCGCCGGAGATAGGAGAGGAGGAGGGAAACCGACGGTTACGTTTTTGGTGAATGTGTTCACTGAGCTTGATGATAATTTCTTGAGAGCTTCTGAGAGCGCTCACGAGGTTTCCAAGATGCTTGAAGCCACCAGGCTCCATTACCACTCTAATTTCGCAGATAACCGAGGTACAGTATTTGATTTTGATACTTTCTTTGGAAACAAGATGATATATATAGATTAGCTAAAGATTCGATATTGTTGCTGACAGGACACATTGATCACTCTGCTAGAGTAATGCGTGTAATCACATGGAATAGATCGTTTAGAGGAATGCTAAATACTGATGATGGGAAAGATGATTTCGATTCCGAAGAGAATGAAACTCATGCTACTGTTCTTGACAAATTGCTAGCTTGGGAGAAAAAGCTCTACGACGAAGTCAAGGTAGCCATTTCAAACTTCTTTCAAGTTTAAGGAAAGATTCTTTTTAGCCATGTTTAGTCTTTTCTGGTAACCTTCCTTAATGTATGTTTCTATTGGAAAGTCTGATTTTGGAATAAACTTGTGGGTGGATATAGGCAGGTGAGCTCATGAAGATCGAGTATCAGAAAAAGGTTGCTCATTTGAACCGTGTGAAGAAGCGAGGTGGTCACTCGGATTCGTTGGAGAGAGCGAAAGCAGCGGTTAGTCACTTGCATACAAGATACATAGTCGATATGCAATCAATGGACTCCACAGTTTCAGAGATCAATCGTCTTCGAGATGAACAACTATACGTAAAGCTCGTCCACCTTGTCGAGGCGTAAGTTCTTGAATTGCTGTGTAGATACATTCTTGATTCATGATGCTTTTGAGACAACATGATTTTGAGTTTTTGGTTTTGCAGGATGGGGAAGATGTGGGAAATGATGCAAATGCACCATCAAAGACAAGCGGAGATCTCAAAGGTTTTGAAATCGCTAGACGTTTCTCAAGCGGTGAAAGAAACAAACGATCACCACCACGAACGCACGATCCAGCTCTTGGCCGTGGTGCAAGAATGGCACACGCAGTTTTGCAGGATGATTGATCACCAGAAAGAGTACATAAAATCCCTCGGCGGATGGCTAAAGCTGAACCTCATTCCTATCGAGAGCACGCTCAAGGAGAAAGTATCTTCTCCTCCACGAGTTCCTAATCCCGCGATCCAGAAACTCCTCCACGCTTGGTACGACCGGTTAGACAAGATCCCTGACGAAATGGCGAGAACCGCGATCATCAACTTCGCGGCGGTGATAAGCACGATAATGCAGCAGCAAGAGGAAGAGATCAAGCTGAGAGACAGATGCGAGGAGACGAGGAAAGAGTTGGGGAGAAAGATCAGACAGTTTGAGGATTGGTATTATAAGTACATGCAGAAGAAAGGACCGGAGGGGATGATGAATGAGGACGGGACAGAAGCGGATAACGACCATAAAGATGAGGTCGTTGTGAGGCAATTCAATGTGGAGCAGATTAAGAAGAGGTTGGAAGAAGAAGAAGAAGCTTACCATAGACAAAGCCAACAAGTTAGAGAGAAGTCGTTGGCTAGTCTTCGGAGTCGTCTTCCGGAGCTTTTTCAGGCAATGTCCGAGGTTGCGTATTCGTGTTCTGATATGTATAGAGCGGTTGCGTATGTGACTCAGCGGCAAAGCGAACGGCATCAGAAGACTAGCCAGGGACAAGGACAGGGACAGAGTTCGCAAGGAGTGATGTCTTAAATTTTTCTTTGATCTGAATTTTTAAGCACACATACATACAACAACGTACAGTATAGCTAAATATTTGTTGCTGATTTAATATAAATATCAAAGTTTTGGGTTGTATTTTATCTGAGAGTTTCATTTACATAGTTGAGTTTTAAGAAATCGTTCTGTTTGATAAGACTATTAAGAGTTTGTGTGTTGAGGTCGACTTTGTATAAAGTCATGAAGTCCTTCCACATAATCCATGATGAACTAATTTAATAATAAAGTTCAATTATACACTCAACTAACCAAATATATATATTTCGACCTTACCAAACATCTTCTCCCTCAAGAGCCATGGCCGGAGAAGAAGATCCTGAAGCAACTCCGTCATCACCGGAATATAAACCTTTACCATCATCAAGTCACGATGTAAACGACGCAGTTCTGATCTCACATCCTTCTGCGATCGCACGACGCCGTTTCATCATCTCTATATTTTGCATATCATTTGCCTCCGTCCTCATCTACCTCTTCTGGCCGTCAGATCCACGAATCAAGATCGTAGGGGTCAAGATTTCCCACGTGCACGTTCACCGCCGTCCGGTACCGTCAGTAGACTTGACGATGCTCGTGACGCTCAAGGTATCCAATGCTGACGTGTACTCTTTTGACTTCACGGCGCTTGACGTGGCGGTTGACTACAGAGGGAAGACGTTAGGTCACGTGAGCTCGGATGGAGGCCACGTGACGGCTATGGGTTCGTCTTACCTGGAAGCGGAGACGGAGCTTGACGGCGTCACGGTGTTTCCTGACGTCATTCACCTGATTTACGATTTGGCAAAAGGCTCCGTCGAATTTGACACCGTTACGGAGACTAAAGGAAAACTTGGCGTTTTGTTCTTCCGTTTCCCTTTAAAGGTAAGCCTACTTCAACTCCAGTTTTACGCAATTGGTCGGTTCATTATGACAATCAAAGACTTATTAACACTTTCTTAGAATCATTTTAATTCGATTCTCTACATTTTAAATATTTTGATGAACAGGCAAAAGTGGCATGTGGAATTCTGGTAGATACAGTTAATCAGACAATTTCTCGTCAAAGTTGTAGACCTGTCTAATTCAAGAGACATCATTTGATGTTTTTTTTTGGTACTCAAAAACTTCTTTTAACTTTTTGAATTAAATTCCAAATGCAACAAAAGATCAGAGTCAACCAATATCCAGAATATTATATTCTTAGACGCTAATCCGATTTTTATTTTTAATAAAATAAAAAATTGGTTCACAAGTAGAGAAAAATGTAAAATTTGCTGGACAAAAATCCTCCAAAATCTTTGTTATGTTGGTTAGAATTAGATCATGTATATCTGGTTGCACTAAATCAATGTTTAGTAAATCGCATTATTGATCTAAGAGCAAAATGTAACACATCAAACAAATATGTTTCTTCCATGACTTTCTAAAAAATCTCTCTAGAGGTAACAATCAAAACCACAAATAAGATCCAACGGCTAAATTATTAAAGAGAGAACATGATGTCATCATGACGACACATTTGACACTAAACAAACATTCATGAGCCAAAAAATGATCATCTGAAAACTTTGAAGGAGTGGTTAGTGCAGGTGAAACCTCCATCAATCATCAGATTATCACCACTTATGTACCGCGACTCATCGCTCGCCAGAAACAAAACCGCGTTCGCCACGTCATCAACCGTCAATTCCACACCTTTCAGATTCGCGTTCGCGGCCGCGAAACTCCTGAAACCAGCCAACGCATCCTCCGTCCTCTCCTCCTCCGGCAAATGAGCCAGAGCGAGTTTCGTCGCAACCGCATAAGGCGAAACGCAGTTCACTCGTATCCCGTGCTGTCCAAGCTCCGCCGCAACGCTCCTAGTCAAGCCAAGAACAGCGTGCTTCGAACCAACATAAGAATGCGGACCAACACCTCCCACAACACCTCCAACGCTACACAACGAAACTATCGACCCTTTCTTCGCCGGAATCATCACCCGAGCCGCGTGTTTCATCCCTAGGAAAGCTCCTTTCACGTTCACGTCAAAGATCAGCTCGAACTCGCTCAAACTGTTGTTGCGAATATCGGGACACGGCGCTCCGCTTAGTCCAGCGTTGTTGATGACTATGTCAAGCGTCCCGAATCGCTTCACCGCGAAGTCAACCGCATTGCTAACGTCGTCTTCTACTCTCACATCACCATGGATGAAACATGCCTCTGCCTTAGTCGTCTCACCACTAAGCAGGCTTTTACAGAGCTTATCTCCGAGATCATCTTGCAAATCGACAATGCAGACTTTTGCGCCGTGCTTGTGGAACAGACGAACAATGCTCTCTCCTATCCCTGTGGCTCCTCCGGTTATCAACGCCACTTTACCTAAAAGCCTATTCAAAAGCAAGAACAGGCAAGAGAAGTAATTGATTCTTTTCTTTACCTTAAGAACAGAAAGATCCAAAAATATTCATATAAATTGATTCTCGGCCACAAAACTACAACAATGGGGGACAAGAAAGGACCACAAACAAAGTTAGTTAAAACAGAAACGTGTCAAGTAGGTTAGATGGGACAAATGGACACTAACTTACAAATGTGAAGTTGAAAGATTGTAATTAACAAATCTGAAATCTCTATAGAGCTAATTAGCATCGCTAATCATGCAATAAGAAACTTGTTAGCTGTTGAGATGTGAGATCATAAACATTCAGACATGCAATTAAATAATCAGAATCAAACAGAACCAAATGACTAGATCTTAAATTTGTCCTCATCCGACCAAGGACACTAAGGAAATGAAAATTTCATGGGCGATTTGTTAACTGAAAAACTGAACAAAAAATTCAGCATTCAGATCGAAAGAGTAAAGCTTTGATCACAGAGACGAAGGAAGGTCGAGAAAGGTGGTACCTTTGAGTAGGAAGAGAAGAAGATTCAGTGTTGTTGGTTGACATGATAGCTTCTTTTAACTCCTTAGATCTTCTCTCTTCTCTTCGATTTCGGTTTCAGTTTCTTTCCCAAGAGCTCTAATTTCAGTTCCTCGTTAGCTCTACTCACAGAGACAGCTTTATTCTCCGGCAACCTCAGGAGAATCTTCTCAACTTTACTCTCACACCTCCGTAGGAAATAAATCTTCTCAAATATACTTTTTCTGGAAAATAGCATTTTTGTACTTTTAAACGGAAAATAGGTTAATTATTTTTATATCTGACTAAATTAATTTGTCCTAGCCGGACATAAATCTAAAAAGGCACTTTTAAAATAAAATAAAAATTCCACTAACCTTATTTGATTTCACAAGACTTTTCTGTGGAATCCTTATTTCAAAATATTAAAATATTTCTGAAACTTGCCTTTTATCATTTAATATTATTACAATTCTTGTTAAAAATAATTATTTAATGACTAAAATAATCAGAAACTTTTGTGTGTGAAAGATTGAGTCCAGTAAAATAAAAATAGATTTTCTATTTTCTATATACTATTTTTTTTTAAAGAAAGATATGAGATCAAACAAAACTTAGTTGTTTGGTTATCATTTTTGTTACTTAAAAACAATTACAGATAAAATACCTTTTTATAAAGTTAGATATGAGGAGCTTTATAGCATAGTCGATTGGTTGGTATGGGCTTTAAACCCATTAAAAAAAAAACTTCACGAATTCACTCAAAAAATACCTTCTAAAATATTTAACCAAAATTGACTATAGCAGACCAGAGAAATCTGGTTCTTAATAAGCTCTCGGTCGCGCTCTTTCCATTGTCAGATGTTTCAGAGGAGCTTAAGAACCAGATTTCTTTTACTATACAATCTTCCGGGCGGCAGCAGTGTGTCTTGTTTTAGATACATTTGTCTTTCTAACATGTTGTTCGCATATCATATAGTTGATTACATTACACATTTTATTAATCCGGTCGAGAACATACCTAACAGAGAAAATCGGTCCACTATAACAGCTCTAGTTATATATATATATATTTCAATTCTACAAAAATCGTTATTATATCGACTGACTAACAATAAGTCCAATGTATGACGAGTTTTTGTAGGTTTAATGTTCTTTCGGTACGTTCACTTGCTAGTAGCTACAACTATCTTATATCATCATTTCGAAGACAAACACTAACTTCTCCTCACCTAACAAACCATACCACTCTTTTTTACTCCTCTATCGTAATTGTTAATAATAACCTTTTGTTATGTAATTTTACAGTTTACTTTTTAGTTTATTTAACTTACGTAGTTTTCCTGTTACAATAGTTCTACTGTTTTTGTAGCTTAACTATTTCACTATTTTGCTAATACACTAATCAAACTATTAAATAAAGTCTACCAAAACTAGTTTACTTGTCTTTTGTTTCGGTCCGGAGCCGGGTGGTAATGGACTTGTCGATAAATTCAACTTAGAATGACGACCGTATATATATATCTTATTTTTCACATCATTTATCAATCAACTAAAAAAAAAAACTATTGGTTTGGTATTTCAATTTTTCTTCTTCGGTAAGTTGGACATTTTGATGCTTAAAGTCGATTAATCACGAGAAAAACTCGATTAATCAGCCACGTAACGTCAACTTTCTTATAAACCGTTTTTAGGCGTAAGACGACTAATTATACAAAAAAATCAGTATAACCGTGTATTTCTCTAGCGTCTAGAAACGATGCTGCTCATTTTTAAAACTTTGGAATCAAACAACATCGTTTTATAGAAGATTCAACGAAATAATAAGAAACCACAATACAATTTCCACTTTGATTAGAATACCAAACAAATAACCATGGATTATAAAAATATAAACTATATAATTATTTGATTACATGATGATGTGTTATTTGTGGATGGAAGAGGAAGTAGAGGAAGAAGAGGAAGAAGGAAGCCACTGATATTCATGATGATGATACCTACACTTGAACGATCCTGGATGCTTTGACGGTGAACACACACACTTCTTCTTTCCACCGCCACCGTCACGGTGACCTTCGATGGCTCCCACCTCCGTCGTCACCACCGTCACTTCTGCTGCCGGCATATTCACGTGGATGCTCTCCGGAGGAATAACAAGAGGGAGAATCTTTTTGTAACACATTTTTGTTTGATACTCAATCAATCAAAATGAAAGATTCTTCTTATTGAAGATTGTGTGTGTGGGTGTGTGCGCGCTTTACATAAATACTACTCGATCTTGATGGAAAAAAAACAAATAGGAGTGATAAAAAAGTATTAATCACTTTTGTAGAAATTAAATATTTTAATTGCATATTTATCTTTTAGGTATTGAGTAGAAGAGATGTCGCGAAACAAAAATCCGAAACGTCACACGTGGCTAATGGCTTTTATTCACGTCTTGAGATTTGTTCAAAAACCATGAGGTCATAAATTTGTTCTAGTGTATATCAATATCACTATATCTGATCTTTATGTTTTACAGATTTTCTCTTAGGAAAAAGTTTAACAACGAAAAAGTTATTACCATTTAATTTTATATCGAAAAGTGGTTTTTAGTTAAAAAAAAAACAATTAATCGTGATTTTAATTTTACCTGATCATTTATAGATGTTTTAAATGATAAGAATATCCATATTTCACTTTAACAAAAAAAAAAGAATATCCATATTTCATAAATTTAAAAGATGAATTTAGAGTTTGATTTGAAAATTTTCTTATATAAGCAAGGGAAAAAAAAAGAATTTTTGGTCGAAAATGTGAACGCATATGAAACGGTGGACCATACTTGTATGTGAGACAAAAGAGTTTGGAAAATTTATATGGTAAAGAGGAAATTGAAGTGATTGGAGAGGATAAGCGGTGGGAGTGGGCCGATTACGACATCACTTTTCCTCTCTTTGGGCTTCTCTTTGTCACTCACTCATCTTTCTTTAGATAAACTTACCTTTTTGAGGTCATCTCTCACGACAACTCAAACTCTCTTCTTTTACCAACTTCTTATTTTGGATGACTTTTTTTTTTGGCTTTAATTGATACTTTTCGTTATAGAGTTTCGAAATTGTTCATATTAAACTCTCTGTTTGTGTATTTATCCGTGAGTATTAAGATTTTAAGTTCAGTAATAGAACAACAAATGTATCGAGAAGATCATGTCTTAGTTGTAAAATACAAAGATTTGTAACTTTTTTGTTTTGTAGTGTTATTGTGTTTTAAGAAATGATGGTTATTAATTTTATCTCAAGATTAAAGGGAGTAGTACCTTTGTCTTTTTTAGTTTTGGATATTAATTTTAAAAGTTTTGGCCTACCTTTAAATACTTTCATAAAAAAGCCATCTTTTTCTTTTCGGTAAACGACTTTATAGTACAACTCATAAAAAAGAAGAAGAAGAAGCATATAACAAGAAATTACGAATGCATTACATAACTCTCTTCTTAATATGTTTGTTTGCGTTCCAACTAAAAATACTCCAAGAAATTGAAATGGATGCTTTGTTGTTCCCCCAAAAAAATTTGACATGGGAAAAGATAAAAAACAAACTCCCAAAAAAGTGACCGGATTGACATAAAAAATTACCAAGTTCCAGTTAAAAACTTCTTATACGAAAGAGAATCAACATAGAAACATATCTTAATTATATAAAAAAAGAACAACTGAAAAGAAATAAACTTAAAAAAGAGAAGCTCCAAAAATAACAACAACGACCATATAGAGACTACAATCTATGAGCATTCCACGAAGAGCTTGATACACAACAACTCCTCTTTCTAGAAGCCTCTCTGCATCAGACCAGTTTTCTCCGTTGTTACCATCTTTAACCTTTCCTTCTTCTTCTATCTCATGGCTCAATCCAACCCCGGAAGCTTCCATGGTGAGATGAGACATCACTATAGCACAATCCGTAAGCAGAAGCAACCAAAGTGGTCTCAAAGCTAAGATAGTGTATGAGCTTATAATGTTCAGTCTTGGGAGTAAGACCACAAACGCAGCTATTGTAAGTGAGCTTAGACTCCGAGTTCTTTCTGAGCTTATGATGCTAGCATTGAGTTTCTTGGAACTGAAGGAACTCTTAGGTCGTTGACTTTGACTCTTTACTGATCTTGCTACTTCTTGTTTTGGTGGTTCACTTTTTAAAGGTTTGTGAAGAACAGTGGAGGCTTTTGGTTCCTCTCTTGCCTTTACTTCCTCTGCATGCATCATGAGTATTACTTAGAGACGATAACCATCAATCAGTTCAGCTATTCAATTTAACCATATGTTTTAGTTAGAAAGTTTATGAACCTTGACAAAATGAGAAATGCAAAATGCAGTTTTCGTTTATTTATGTTTGGTTTTGAGTTTACAAATTCAAATCTTTCGGTTAAAACACTATAATTATATTTTCACATGATGAAAAATATATCTTTATCACATTTAGACGTAAACACAAAAAGAGGCATCATCATATTTCATACAAGAATAAAACAAGAGAGCTAAAGTTAGAATTTGTGTACCTTTGAATTGATACTTAAGAGATGGGCTTTCTTGAATGAGATGTTGATCAGGTTGAGTTTGTGGCATGAAAGATTCGCTGTATGAACGTTGTTGAGACGTTGATGATGAGGAAGAACACGACGGTGACGAAGGATCAAGATTATGTAATTGCCCTGTGATTAGAGCTAAACGATCTGATCCTCTTTCCATTATTTTTCTTCTCCTTTCTTCTCTATCCATCACCATCTTCACTAATAAGACAAAAAAAACAAATTGACACAAGAATGAAACGAAGTTTTCAAAAAATTTAGAGCAAGAAAATTGTTTTGTTTCATAGCTTTTTAACCCTCCAAACTTAGTTTTTTTCTTAAAACAGAAAGTATGGCTAAAGAATAGTTCTCTTAGTCTAAATTTAGAATGTGTAAATATGAAGTCTTCTCTATGTTCCAAAATAAAATAAAATTATAATGAAAAATTAAGAAAAAACGACCACAGTGGGAGTCGAACCCACGACCTTCTGATCCGAAGTCAGACGCGCTAATCCACTGCGCTATGCGGTCATCTTGTTAAACAATGAAACAGTATTTATTTAATATCACCTATTTATTTAATATCACGTAATCACGTTAGTGTTGAGTACGTTCTTGGATTTGCTTCTAGTAAGATTTGAACTCGAGAAGCTGCTTCGGGTCGATCCACTATGCTTTTGTATTCCAGAGGTAGTTTTTAGTCTAATCGTGAGATTTCTGAATTAGGGTTTTTGAGATCTTCAGGGAGGTCGAGTGATTCAAGAAGAGTAGCAAAAATCTCAAAGTTGGTACATTTAGTAATGTGCTGATCTTGATTCAGTCATGGTTATATGGAGAGGTCTTGTCCGAATATAAATCCCTGGTCTCAGTCACGTTAACTTCTCAAGGTTTTTGTGGTCAAGAAGGGAAAATAAACTACATTTCATTTTGGGTTTAGGGTAAAATTTGAGCTTTAATTACTACGGAGTTAATCAGAAAAACTATCTGTAACAAAATTAATGGAGATGGATATTTGCAAAGTTTAAGGCTGAGCATATTGAGCTTTCCATGTTGATGAGATATCAGAAACAGCTTCACCAACAGTGAGATAAATTCCACCAAGTCCGAGTGACTCTACGATCTTTGAGTTGTGTAGCTTTTCCATCACGCTCCCTACTGGATTCACCAGCACAAACTAAAAAGTTGAAACAAGAAGTTTTAATGTTTAGATTATCTCTGTATGACTGGATTGTTGTTTTCAGTTTAAGAGAACTCACCTGAAGTGCTTGCTTCTCAAGCTTCTTTCTGAGCTCAGACACGGTTTCAATCCCGCTAGTGTCTATCGCCGTTACAGCTGAGATTGCATCACATAAAGGGAACTATGAGCAAAGAAGATATTACACAAAAAAAATTCTCTGAGGTGGTAACAGAAGTTACCTGTCATGTCAAGAACTATACATTTCAAGCTACTCTCATTATTCTCTTTTATCCGTGATTCCTCTTCTCTGATCCATCTCAAGATCCTGCAAAAACCATTACTCTTTCTTTACGCAAACCCTTGTCATGAAAGTTAGTGAAAAAGAGAGTGTCATGGACTGACCTATCTTGTAGGTAACTAGAGTTGGCGAAATAGATAGGAGATTCGATGGCAAGAATTAGGAAAGAAGGGATTCTTGAGGCTTCTGTATATCTTTCAAGACTCTGATATATCAAAGTCCCTGAGATGTTTCCTAATTCAACTGTGTTTGGTCGGATTACGTGCAACAGAATCTTCAAAACCGAAACTCCCACCTGAAAAATAGAAGTTAGAAATCCCAAATCTAGAAAAAGTGGAGGAACATTGAGGAATAGTTTTGTTTTGCTTACTGCTACAGCTAGGCCAAGAGGCACTGAGATGAAGAGAACACCAAAGAAAGAACATATACAAGCCAAGAAATCGAGCTTATCGACTTTCCACAGCTTGTAAGCAGCTTCATAGTCGATGAGCCCTATCACTGCGGTTACTATGATAGCTGCTAAGATCACGTTAGGAGTGTAGTAGAATAGTGGCATCAGAAACAAAAGCGTTACAAGTACTGTTGAGGACATGACAATGTTAGAAACCGCTGTTTGTGCTCCAGCGTTGTAGTTCACAGCAGATCGAGAGAAAGATCCTGAGGTAAATGATTAAAAAGACTCTGTTCTTGAGCTAAACATTTCACTAGAAAAAGAGAAAAATGTTGTGAGATTTGATGTAGTTAGTTAGTTTACCTGTTGTAACATAGCAAGAAGTACAAGAACCAGCCATATTCATAAAACCAATTGCCATCATTTCTTTGTTACCATTGACCTGATAGTTCTTGAGAGAAGCAAATGTTCTTCCTACAGCAATCCCTTCCTGAGGAACAAGAAAATGTTTTTATTCACTGAATCTTGTGGTTACATTACATAGTAGCTTGCTTGATATGTCTTACTGTGAGGGAGAGAATGCCAGTGATTAAGCCGGTTTTGATGGCTAGAGCAAGATGAGTACCACTGAAGAACAACATGTTTAGTGAAGGTGGATTCAAACCCTTTGGTAGATACCCAATCTGAGATTCAGAATCAAAAAGTTTCAGAAATGAAAGATTGTATCTCTGGAAAAGATTTCAGCTTTGGTAATCTAATGTCCTTACAAAGGAGATGGACTGAGTCTTGGATCTGATAAGGTAGACGAATACAGTTGAGATAACAACAGATGTCAATGGTGCTGCAGCTGATATCCAGAAAAGTTTAGGCTTCTTCATGCTCTGCATTGTCACGTAACAAGGAAGAAACATTAATCAGTATTTGATTCAACAATGAGCTGTGAATTGATCGGACACTCGGTTAATTTTCAGGACTAATGTGAAAAATACTTACAATGTGTCTTGTGGTTAACAGGATGATCAAGAAGACCAGTCCCATCACAATGGGTTGCCAAGACCACTGTCATGTATAATAAGATCCGTGGATCATTAAGCACTGAAACTTGTTAACTGTAAACTGGTGCTTAAGTGAAATAACAGATAATTTTTTTTTTTACTTACTTCAGATCTGTGGTTGAGAACAGAGGAGACTACAGGAACAATTTGCATTTGGCTTGTGAAATGGACAATCCCAAGAAGACTCTTGAGTTGTTGTAATGCCACAATGACAGCAGCACCAGCAGTGAACCCAATTAGAGTTGCCTTTGACAAGAAGTCAATCACAAAACCTAGCCTGTTACAAATTCATGCAAACAAATTGAAGAAAAGGAAAGTATGTGATGGTCAAGTTTTGAAGTTTGTTTTATGTACGTACCTAAGAAGGCCAAGAGAGGCTTGGAATACACCAGCAAAGAAAGTGGCTGTGAAGGCTAATTTGAGGTAAAGGGTGGAGTCTTGTGTCGGAGAGATACTCTCGCTAAGCATAGAACCCATCACTAGTGATGCTATTGAGACAGGACCTACTCCAAGGTGTTTTGAGCTTCCTAGAATTGAGTATATAAGTGGTGGCACAAAGCTTGAATCTGCATGGAGTTTCACAAAATTCAAAACTTTGATTAGATTCAGTTTACTTGATTAAGAAGTCTTGTTTTTAAAGTGATCATTAGTATGTAATATAGGTGTTTGATTATAATACTTACAAAGACCAATAATGGGTGGCAAGTTTGCTAATTTGGCGTAGCTGATTCCCTGCCATTTACCAATCCAAACAAAATGTAAGAAAAAATTATCAAGTTTTCGTAATTAACTAAAATGCAAGATTTGTTTTTTTCATCCAAAAATAAAAAACGGCTGTAAGGAAAATATAAATAAGTTGAAAACCCTTTATCAAAAAAAAAAATAATATAAATAAGTATTTCGTTGGATATTAGTAAATTTAAATTTACAAATAATCCAAAAAACAGTTACGAACAAAAGAGAAATATAAAAGTTCCTTTTTTTGTTAAATATCTCCAAAGTCCAATGGTGAATCCTCATTTCCATTTAACCGCCATTTTAGAGATCGGATTCTATACAGAATCGTTATTAAGCTTCCACTAATCAGATTCAACATTTTGCTATATCCAGCGTATACTCGTAAGTCGTAAGTCGTAACTATCTATCATTTTTCCACTGTAAATAAACAATTTTGATTGTAGCCAAAAAAAAAAAAAAACTATGGTTTTTCATAAACAAAGAAAAATTGGAAATACTATGGTTTTTTAAAAACTGAGTAAGTTATATAACCTGAGGAATGGCGAGGCTAGCAATGGTGAGACCAGAGATAACATCAGATCTAAAAAGCTTGAGATTGTACTGCGGTGCCCACGTGAATATCGGAAATATGCTTTTTAAACCCAAAACCACTCTGTTTCTCCATGTTTGGTTCCTGAATCTTTGTAACGGATCGTCGGGGAAAAAGACATCCGCAACGCGGCGTTTTAGCTTCTGAAACGCGGTTTTCTCAGGCGGGAGACAAACGGTGTGTATCTCCACGATCGTTGTTTCTCTAGCGACGTTACAAGGACTCGAACTGTTGTTTTCTACTCTGTTTGCTTCATGACTCATTGTGATGATGATGATCAACCGATGATTATGATTGAAATTTGTGGTTTTTGTCTCTGAAAATGGCAGAGTGAAAGAGCAGTTTTTTTTTTTGTTTCGTATGTTGATGTTTTATGTGTTCTTAGTTTTATATATCAAACGTATATAGATAAAAAAAACTGAATTGCTGTCATTTATTAAGTGAATTTAGTTTTTTTTTTCTTTTTGTTAGGAAACAAACTTTATGTTATCTAATGATTTACTTGTATTTATTTGGTTGTAATTTATACAACTCATTTTAGTGCTGAATGTTAATCAGTTTATTCTTTTTAAATCTGGATATTATAATTTGAATGAGTTTAAAAATATTAAATGGAGGAGACATGAAAAAAAAAATCAAAATAAAAAGTACTATTATATCTTGTTCATAAACAAAGTTAGTCACATTTTGGAGAATTTCCCAAAATCAAAAGTTAGTACACTTAAATCAACAACACTTAAGTTTTGCATACCAATCGAGTATTTAGGCCTTTCATCAACGGGCTCGTTGGGTCTGAATATTTGTCGATGAAAAATATAACAGCCATTTGAGTGGCCCATATCCATCCCAGTGGCGATTTCGTAAATGTCTTACCTCAGCGTTCTTAAGCAAAAATTTACTTATCTTCCTGATTTTAATTTACTTTATCACATCGAGCTACATAACGTCGTTCGTTCTTCGATCTCCGATTTGCAGATTTAAGCGATAATACGAGATCCGGAGGGCACAGCCTTCCTCCGCTTAATCAGTAAATATGGTGAGTAGTGAAATCCTTCCTCTACTTTTCGTTCTTCTCAGATCTCGAGTGAACATTTCTACGATTCGATCTCGATTTCCTGCATTTCTGATAGTGATTTTAGCGTAATTTGAGTGAGATCGTGGAATCTCAGATCGCATGTTTCCTTGTATTCGACTTTTCTGATCTGATTCGAATTGTGTCTAGTGTTGCTGCCGATGGCATGAAATCGAGTGTAGTCTCTTGACATTTGGTCTCATGGCCGTTGCATTTTGATAAGATCTGGAATTCTTTCGGTTTAGGTGCATATGTGGTCCAGAAAGTTGTTTGCGTTGTGTATTCGGTTTTAAGCTTTTAGCTGTTTTCTATATATTTGTGTGGCTAAAAGTTCCTTGTTGATTTTGGTTGAGGAATTTTGGTAAAATTTGTAGTTTACGATCTTACTTTCTTTAGCTTAGTACTGACTACTGCTTTCTTTCTTTTCTGTTGAATCAGCCTCTCAGACTCGAGATCAAGGTACTGTTTTAATCTCCATGTAGTAATTTTAGATCACTCACTCTGGTTTTAGGCTGTGTTGGTGATTTGATTTGCGTTGTTTGTGGAGCAGAAGAAATTTGCTCAAAGGTCCGAGAGAGTAAAATCTGTGGATCTGCATCCTACAGAACCATGGTAATTTCGAGATATGATTGTGTTCTCCCTGCATTTTAGTTTCATGCTTACTTTCTTTTTAGCGACTGAAAGATTCTTTCACCATTTTGTACTAATGACTGGAACGTGAATGACATAATTTTTCAGGATTCTAGCAAGTTTGTACTCTGGAACCTTGTGTATTTGGAACTACCAGACACAGGTGGGTAAATAATTTGATTTTCTTTATTTGTTTTCTTGTGCACATATTTCACAATGAACTTTTTGTGAATTGGAATGACCAAAAGTGCAACTGAAAGATTTTGATTCTTTCTGTATTCTATGAGGTTTTGCAGTGTTTTGATATTCTGTTAGGTTGCTTTTATATGAAATCGTGGAAATTTTTTAACCTGAATCTTGCTTGATAATTCTCAGGTGATGGCAAAATCCTTCGAGGTGACCGAATTACCAGGTATATAGATTTCTTTCTTTTGCCTATTAAGTTATAATGTTTTTTTTTTTTCATTCTTTCTTGTTGTATGGACTATGTACTCATGTTTAGTTTATTACTTATGCTGATTTCTTATATTATGAATTTGCAGTTCGATCAGCCAAGTTTATAGCACGAAAGCAATGGGTTGTGGCAGGAGCTGATGATATGTACATCCGTGTATACAATTACAATACCATGGACAAGGTCAAAGTGTTTGAGGCTCATTCAGACTACATTAGGTGTGTGGCTGTTCATCCAACCCTTCCATATGTGCTGTCATCTTCCGATGATATGCTCATAAAGCTTTGGGACTGGGAAAAGGGTTGGGCTTGCACTCAAATATTCGAGGGGCACTCACACTATGTGATGCAAGTCACATTCAATCCAAAAGACACCAATACTTTTGCCAGTGCATCACTTGATCGTACCATTAAGGTACTGAAATTGTCTAAGCTTGTAGCTTGGTTATGAATTAGTCCGCTTAAGGTTATGAAAAGTGTCAGCTGATTCTATATTACATGCTTGTTGATCTTCAGATTTGGAATCTTGGTTCTCCAGACCCAAATTTTACATTAGATGCCCATCAGAAAGGAGTGAATTGTGTAGATTATTTCACCGGTGGGGATAAGCCTTATCTAATTACCGGCTCTGATGATCACACTGCTAAGGTCTGCATCAGTGCTATGTTAAATGATACATTTATACTGACATTAAGTGCTTTCAGCTTATTTACTAGTTAAATTTCGGGAATCAGGTTTGGGACTATCAAACAAAAAGTTGTGTCCAGACACTGGACGGGCACACACACAATGTATCTGCAGTATGTTTCCATCCCGAGCTTCCAATTATAATCACAGGTTCTGAAGATGGTACAGTTCGCATCTGGCACTCAACTACTTACAGGTATTATAATATGAACAGTTGTTTTTGTTGGAATATGAATAATACAAGGCTTCTTCTATGCCTAGCTTAGTCATCTTCATTCGAGCTTCATTCTTTTGCATATTTTCCTCAGTACCAATTTTTCTATTGTCCTTCCATTTGTAATCCCAGTTTTTAATGTTTGATTATTCTTGCAGGCTAGAGAACACCTTAAATTATGGTCTCGAGAGAGTTTGGGCCATTGGTTACATTAAAAGTTCACGCCGGTGAGGTTTTAAATTTTTGCTTCCTTCTCTTATTAATAACTCAATGCTTTTCAGAACTGTTATCCGGGAGTAGATTTACTCTCTCAGTTGATGGCAAAACAGCATTAATTGAAGCTTTGCTTCTGACGTTCAACTTTTTGGCACTCTTGTGGTTATTATTGTTGGAAGCGACTTGTTTTTACACCATGGAGTTATCCTGCGAGACCGTTAACCTTTTTCTTGTTTTCACTTCACAGGGTTGTGATTGGATATGATGAAGGAACCATCATGGTTAAACTTGGACGAGAAATTCCTGTCGCTAGCATGGATAACACCGGAAAAATCATTTGGGCTAAGCACAATGAAATTCAAACTGCAAACATCAAAAGTATTGGTGCAGATTACGAGGTATAGGTCTTAACTCTTATACTGTGGCAGCGGATGACCTAGTTTTTATTTGTTTACCTGATGGTATTAAGCCTTTGTTCTCGACCTTAGGTTACCGATGGAGAAAGGTTGCCTGTGGCTGTTAAAGAGTTGGGTACCTGTGATCTTTATCCACAAGTGAGTGTTACTATACAGCATTTGATCCAATGGTTTTGTATGTTTTAGCTTGTTTTATAGTTTATTTGGGCAAAACATTTTCTGCATAGCTGGTATGACTGACACTAGCCCAAAGTTGTTGGTTTCGCTACGCTTTTCTTCTTCTGAATATATAACTGTGTCTCATATGTTGGTACTCTTGCCCTCAGAGCTTGAAGCACAATCCTAATGGGCGGTTTGTGGTAGTCTGTGGTGACGGGGAGTATATCATCTACACGGCTTTGGCTTGGAGAAATAGGTCATTTGGTTCTGGACTGGAATTTGTATGGTCATCCGACGGGGAGTGTGCCGTTAGAGAAAGCTCATCAAAGATTAAGACATTTAGCAAAAATTTCCAGGTTCATTATTCTCCTCCTGTTCTAAGACGTTATGTTTCTACCGTTGTTGGAAGTATTACTGATACTGTCATTGAGATAATTGTTTCTGGATCTGGCTCACACACAGAAGATGTTTGCAGGAAAAAAAGAGCATCCGCCCTACTTTCTCAGCTGAGAAGATCTTTGGAGGAACCTTGTTAGCTATGTGTTCAAATGATTTCATCTGCTTTTATGATTGGGCTGAATGTAGGCTGATTCAACGTATTGACGTCACTGTAAAGGTATACTTGGCTCTGTTTGTTTTGAGAAGTTTACTTCGAGACATATTTGGAATCGTGAAAGCTAATGTTAGCTTCAGTTGGAGATTGTCCTCGTTTGTTTCTTCTCTAATTCTTTATTTTGCCTTATAATGTATGCAGAATCTTTATTGGGCTGACAGTGGTGATTTAGTAGCCATTGCTAGTGATACGTCTTTCTACATCTTGAAGTACAACGTAAGAATCCTGTCCAACGAACACTTTAAGCTGTGAATTTCTATATACAATTCTTGGATTGTTCAAGTGCTTACTATGGTGTTCCCGTTCACAGCGGGATTTAGTTTCCTCACATTTTGAGAGCGGAAGATCTACTGAGGAAGAAGGTGTTGAGGATGCTTTTGAGGTTCTACATGAGAATGATGAACGAGTTAGGACAGGTATATGGGTTGGTGACTGTTTCATTTACAACAACTCTTCCTGGAAGCTTAACTACTGTGTTGGAGGCGAGGTATTGTGCAGATCTCTTGGTTACTCTAATTTGACTTTTATTATGAACAGTATATTGATGAGATTTGCCAACATCTTAATACTAGGTAACCACAATGTATCATTTGGACCGCCCAATGTATCTGTTGGGCTATCTTGCAAATCAAAGTCGGGTATTCTTGGTAGACAAAGAATTCAAGTAAGTGCCTAGATTTTGTGTGTCTATTTCAGCCTGGTTTAGAAGTTTCTGATTTCTGTTCTCCTGTTTTCTGTTATTTGGGATGCAGTGTTATAGGATACACTTTGCTACTAAGCCTGATTGAGTACAAGACTCTTGTGATGCGAGGTGATCTAGACAGAGCCAGTGAAATCTTGCCTACAATTCCTAAAGAACAGCATAACAGGTAATTGTTATCGATTAATATCTATCAATGGGTATTTCGTGGATTTTTCTATATATTTATGTCGCAAATTTTCCACTTTGTTAGTGTTGCTCATTTCTTGGAGTCACGAGGAATGATTGAAGAGGCTCTGGAAATTGCGACAGATCCTGACTACAAATTTGAGTTGGCCATACAACTGGGTAGACTTGAAATTGCGCAGGTGATATAATATGTGATGATTAAGATGCTTTTTTCCTTCTTTATTTAGTGGCATATGTAACCAAACGTGTTTTTGATTATATGCTTGTAGGAAATCGCTGTAGAAGTACAGAGCGAGTCTAAGTGGAAGCAATTAGGAGAGTTAGCCATGTCCTCTGGAAAGGTATTATTTCTTCCTAATGTTAAGTAATGACACTACAAAGACAAAAAAAAACCTTTTCAGTAAACGATATATCAGTTGATTTACGTGTGATTCCGAAGTTTTATCCAGAAATGTTGGAGCAGTGAGCAATATGATCTTTGAAACAGCAAAAATCTATGTTTTTTTGTCTCCTGGTTACGTGTCTGATGTGCGGATCTCCAACTAACTCGTTCCATTTGTATGTCATAATGACAGCTGCAAATGGCAGAGGAATGCATGAAGTATGCGATGGATTTGAGTGGTTTGTTACTGCTATATTCTTCTCTGGGAGATGCAGAAGGTTTGACAAAACTTGCAACACTTGCTAAAGACCAAGGGAAGAACAATGTTGCCTATCTTTGCCTATTCATGCTGGGTAAATTGGAAGATTGTTTGGACTTATTGGTGGAGAGGTAATTCATTAGGAGTTTGGAAAAATCAAATTCATGCACCTTTGGTTATCTGTGTGACGATTTCGTTCTTTCTCCAGCAACCGGATACCAGAAGCTGCTCTGTTCGCAAGATCATATCTTCCAAGCAAAGTATCTGAGATAGTAGCTCTATGGAGGAAAGATCTCAGCAAGGTAACTTTTTTATCTTTATTTTTCAGTGAATTGTGGTCAAGGAGAAAAAAGAGTTATGGTTATAAAGTTGCGTTTCACTTGTCTACAGATTAACCCGAAAGCAGCAGAATCTTTGGCTGATCCTGAGGAGTACTCAAATCTTTTTGAAGATTGGCAAGTTGCTCTTTCCGTCGAAGAAAAAGCTGCAGAGACAAGGTAATTAAGCAGAGATACCATTAATACCTAGTACATCCTTGCACTGATATTTCCGCATAATTACACTTGGGCCTCTCAGAAATCTGACTATTATTCAATTACAGGGGAGTTTATACATCTGCAGAAAACTATCCTAGCCATGCTGATAGATCTTCGATGACCCTCGTGGAAGCCTTTAGAAACTTGCAAGCTGAGGAAGAGGAATTACTCGAAAATGGAGATATCGATCATGAGGTGCCTTTTTCTCTGTCCAATTAAGTTACTCATTTATATCAGCCACGAATGCTTTATTGTTCTTCTTCTCAGGAGGCAGTAGCGGAAGAAAATGGAGGAGATGAACAAAAGAAGGATGGGGATGTTGTAGAGGAGCATCATGAAGAAAAGGAAGAAGAAGAAGGAGTCGTTGATGGTGACTCAACGGATGGAGCTGTACTTGTGAACGAAAGTGAGGCTGACGAAGAGTGGGGTACGAATAATGAAGGAAACCCATCCGCCTAATATCAAGTCCGATCGGTCAAGCCAATGTTGAAAAGTCTGAAAATTTTGTCTCTGGTGATTAATTTGATCTCCCAAAGATAGCATGCATGCCTTCTAACATTCCCCCCTCTGTTATGCGTCTGGTTTGAAATCATTATACCTTAGGAAACATAATTTTAAGTTGTTTCGTGACATGGCTTAGGTTTTGAAACCGAGTATTTGCTTCGCCTTTTAAGAACTTGTTGGTATTAGTTTAACTTATTTATCTTTCGGCTTACTTTGTGTTTTGCAGTGCTTACACCGCGTCAGTAGAGTTTACAGTTTATGGGGAATGGCCAAAGTTCCAGCAACAATGGAGAGGTGAGATAACGTTCTTTCTGAGGACTTGCAGCTTGGAACACCACACTCAGTCAAGTATTTCGAGTCCATTTGTAATTAAAGTTTGATTTTTTTGGTAAGAAACTGAAATTCCGAGAGGCTGAAGGATTTAGATGAAAAGAGAGAGAGAGTCTGGTGGTGTTCCTTATCGGGAGATTTTATTCTTATTATATGGTTTTTATTTTTTTTGCCTAAAGATCTACTTCAATAGTTTACATCTGATTGGATTTTACAGTATTTTCTTCCTCCGGCCTGTAAAATGATTTGTCTTTATTTTAAACGTTGCGAATATAATTCTCTTGGAGTTTTCTTATACTTTTCCCATCAGTTTGTCTCCTTTTCATTGTTTTTCTTGCTACCCTTTTGTTTTATACATCTTCAAAGATTGAGTAGGACTCCGTTGAATTGGCTCAAGGATACAGTATGTTGTTCCATTAAATATAAAAGACTATAATCTTGCAAAGATAATCAACACTAATCGAAGATTAAAGTATGTATGTATCTTTGCTGGGGAAAAAAGTGAGAAGAAAAATATCAAATATGTACCTGAGTGACAAAAAAATAAATAATAATAAGGGAAATTGACACAAATGTCGATAAAATTAAAATATTGAGATACATAGTTCGATGTTCTTCTTCTATTAACCCCCTCTTTGAGCTTCCTCTTCGTACCACGATCGTTGTTGCTCCTTGTTAGGCCTTTTATAAACGGGCTCGTTGGGTCTGAATATTTGTCGATGAAAAATATAACAGCCATTTGAGTGGCCCATATCCATCCCAGTGGCGATTTCGTAAATGTCTTACCTCAGCGTTCTTAAGCAAAAATTTACTTATCTTCCTGATTTTAATTTACTTTATCACATCGAGCTACATAACGTCGTTCGTTCTTCGATCTCCGATTTGCAGATTTAAGCGATAATACGAGATCCGGAGGGCACAGCCTTCCTCCGCTTAATCAGTAAATATGGTGAGTAGTGAAATCCTTCCTCTACTTTTCGTTCTTCTCAGATCTCGAGTGAACATTTCTACGATTCGATCTCGATTTCCTGCATTTCTGATAGTGATTTTAGCGTAATTTGAGTGAGATCGTGGAATCTCAGATCGCATGTTTCCTTGTATTCGACTTTTCTGATCTGATTCGAATTGTGTCTAGTGTTGCTGCCGATGGCATGAAATCGAGTGTAGTCTCTTGACATTTGGTCTCATGGCCGTTGCATTTTGATAAGATCTGGAATTCTTTCGGTTTAGGTGCATATGTGGTCCAGAAAGTTGTTTGCGTTGTGTATTCGGTTTTAAGCTTTTAGCTGTTTTCTATATATTTGTGTGGCTAAAAGTTCCTTGTTGATTTTGGTTGAGGAATTTTGGTAAAATTTGTAGTTTACGATCTTACTTTCTTTAGCTTAGTACTGACTACTGCTTTCTTTCTTTTCTGTTGAATCAGCCTCTCAGACTCGAGATCAAGGTACTGTTTTAATCTCCATGTAGTAATTTTAGATCACTCACTCTGGTTTTAGGCTGTGTTGGTGATTTGATTTGCGTTGTTTGTGGAGCAGAAGAAATTTGCTCAAAGGTCCGAGAGAGTAAAATCTGTGGATCTGCATCCTACAGAACCATGGTAATTTCGAGATATGATTGTGTTCTCCCTGCATTTTAGTTTCATGCTTACTTTCTTTTTAGCGACTGAAAGATTCTTTCACCATTTTGTACTAATGACTGGAACGTGAATGACATAATTTTTCAGGATTCTAGCAAGTTTGTACTCTGGAACCTTGTGTATTTGGAACTACCAGACACAGGTGGGTAAATAATTTGATTTTCTTTATTTGTTTTCTTGTGCACATATTTCACAATGAACTTTTTGTGAATTGGAATGACCAAAAGTGCAACTGAAAGATTTTGATTCTTTCTGTATTCTATGAGGTTTTGCAGTGTTTTGATATTCTGTTAGGTTGCTTTTATATGAAATCGTGGAAATTTTTTAACCTGAATCTTGCTTGATAATTCTCAGGTGATGGCAAAATCCTTCGAGGTGACCGAATTACCAGGTATATAGATTTCTTTCTTTTGCCTATTAAGTTATAATGTTTTTTTTTTTTCATTCTTTCTTGTTGTATGGACTATGTACTCATGTTTAGTTTATTACTTATGCTGATTTCTTATATTATGAATTTGCAGTTCGATCAGCCAAGTTTATAGCACGAAAGCAATGGGTTGTGGCAGGAGCTGATGATATGTACATCCGTGTATACAATTACAATACCATGGACAAGGTCAAAGTGTTTGAGGCTCATTCAGACTACATTAGGTGTGTGGCTGTTCATCCAACCCTTCCATATGTGCTGTCATCTTCCGATGATATGCTCATAAAGCTTTGGGACTGGGAAAAGGGTTGGGCTTGCACTCAAATATTCGAGGGGCACTCACACTATGTGATGCAAGTCACATTCAATCCAAAAGACACCAATACTTTTGCCAGTGCATCACTTGATCGTACCATTAAGGTACTGAAATTGTCTAAGCTTGTAGCTTGGTTATGAATTAGTCCGCTTAAGGTTATGAAAAGTGTCAGCTGATTCTATATTACATGCTTGTTGATCTTCAGATTTGGAATCTTGGTTCTCCAGACCCAAATTTTACATTAGATGCCCATCAGAAAGGAGTGAATTGTGTAGATTATTTCACCGGTGGGGATAAGCCTTATCTAATTACCGGCTCTGATGATCACACTGCTAAGGTCTGCATCAGTGCTATGTTAAATGATACATTTATACTGACATTAAGTGCTTTCAGCTTATTTACTAGTTAAATTTCGGGAATCAGGTTTGGGACTATCAAACAAAAAGTTGTGTCCAGACACTGGACGGGCACACACACAATGTATCTGCAGTATGTTTCCATCCCGAGCTTCCAATTATAATCACAGGTTCTGAAGATGGTACAGTTCGCATCTGGCACTCAACTACTTACAGGTATTATAATATGAACAGTTGTTTTTGTTGGAATATGAATAATACAAGGCTTCTTCTATGCCTAGCTTAGTCATCTTCATTCGAGCTTCATTCTTTTGCATATTTTCCTCAGTACCAATTTTTCTATTGTCCTTCCATTTGTAATCCCAGTTTTTAATGTTTGATTATTCTTGCAGGCTAGAGAACACCTTAAATTATGGTCTCGAGAGAGTTTGGGCCATTGGTTACATTAAAAGTTCACGCCGGTGAGGTTTTAAATTTTTGCTTCCTTCTCTTATTAATAACTCAATGCTTTTCAGAACTGTTATCCGGGAGTAGATTTACTCTCTCAGTTGATGGCAAAACAGCATTAATTGAAGCTTTGCTTCTGACGTTCAACTTTTTGGCACTCTTGTGGTTATTATTGTTGGAAGCGACTTGTTTTTACACCATGGAGTTATCCTGCGAGACCGTTAACCTTTTTCTTGTTTTCACTTCACAGGGTTGTGATTGGATATGATGAAGGAACCATCATGGTTAAACTTGGACGAGAAATTCCTGTCGCTAGCATGGATAACACCGGAAAAATCATTTGGGCTAAGCACAATGAAATTCAAACTGCAAACATCAAAAGTATTGGTGCAGATTACGAGGTATAGGTCTTAACTCTTATACTGTGGCAGCGGATGACCTAGTTTTTATTTGTTTACCTGATGGTATTAAGCCTTTGTTCTCGACCTTAGGTTACCGATGGAGAAAGGTTGCCTGTGGCTGTTAAAGAGTTGGGTACCTGTGATCTTTATCCACAAGTGAGTGTTACTATACAGCATTTGATCCAATGGTTTTGTATGTTTTAGCTTGTTTTATAGTTTATTTGGGCAAAACATTTTCTGCATAGCTGGTATGACTGACACTAGCCCAAAGTTGTTGGTTTCGCTACGCTTTTCTTCTTCTGAATATATAACTGTGTCTCATATGTTGGTACTCTTGCCCTCAGAGCTTGAAGCACAATCCTAATGGGCGGTTTGTGGTAGTCTGTGGTGACGGGGAGTATATCATCTACACGGCTTTGGCTTGGAGAAATAGGTCATTTGGTTCTGGACTGGAATTTGTATGGTCATCCGACGGGGAGTGTGCCGTTAGAGAAAGCTCATCAAAGATTAAGACATTTAGCAAAAATTTCCAGGTTCATTATTCTCCTCCTGTTCTAAGACGTTATGTTTCTACCGTTGTTGGAAGTATTACTGATACTGTCATTGAGATAATTGTTTCTGGATCTGGCTCACACACAGAAGATGTTTGCAGGAAAAAAAGAGCATCCGCCCTACTTTCTCAGCTGAGAAGATCTTTGGAGGAACCTTGTTAGCTATGTGTTCAAATGATTTCATCTGCTTTTATGATTGGGCTGAATGTAGGCTGATTCAACGTATTGACGTCACTGTAAAGGTATACTTGGCTCTGTTTGTTTTGAGAAGTTTACTTCGAGACATATTTGGAATCGTGAAAGCTAATGTTAGCTTCAGTTGGAGATTGTCCTCGTTTGTTTCTTCTCTAATTCTTTATTTTGCCTTATAATGTATGCAGAATCTTTATTGGGCTGACAGTGGTGATTTAGTAGCCATTGCTAGTGATACGTCTTTCTACATCTTGAAGTACAACGTAAGAATCCTGTCCAACGAACACTTTAAGCTGTGAATTTCTATATACAATTCTTGGATTGTTCAAGTGCTTACTATGGTGTTCCCGTTCACAGCGGGATTTAGTTTCCTCACATTTTGAGAGCGGAAGATCTACTGAGGAAGAAGGTGTTGAGGATGCTTTTGAGGTTCTACATGAGAATGATGAACGAGTTAGGACAGGTATATGGGTTGGTGACTGTTTCATTTACAACAACTCTTCCTGGAAGCTTAACTACTGTGTTGGAGGCGAGGTATTGTGCAGATCTCTTGGTTACTCTAATTTGACTTTTATTATGAACAGTATATTGATGAGATTTGCCAACATCTTAATACTAGGTAACCACAATGTATCATTTGGACCGCCCAATGTATCTGTTGGGCTATCTTGCAAATCAAAGTCGGGTATTCTTGGTAGACAAAGAATTCAAGTAAGTGCCTAGATTTTGTGTGTCTATTTCAGCCTGGTTTAGAAGTTTCTGATTTCTGTTCTCCTGTTTTCTGTTATTTGGGATGCAGTGTTATAGGATACACTTTGCTACTAAGCCTGATTGAGTACAAGACTCTTGTGATGCGAGGTGATCTAGACAGAGCCAGTGAAATCTTGCCTACAATTCCTAAAGAACAGCATAACAGGTAATTGTTATCGATTAATATCTATCAATGGGTATTTCGTGGATTTTTCTATATATTTATGTCGCAAATTTTCCACTTTGTTAGTGTTGCTCATTTCTTGGAGTCACGAGGAATGATTGAAGAGGCTCTGGAAATTGCGACAGATCCTGACTACAAATTTGAGTTGGCCATACAACTGGGTAGACTTGAAATTGCGCAGGTGATATAATATGTGATGATTAAGATGCTTTTTTCCTTCTTTATTTAGTGGCATATGTAACCAAACGTGTTTTTGATTATATGCTTGTAGGAAATCGCTGTAGAAGTACAGAGCGAGTCTAAGTGGAAGCAATTAGGAGAGTTAGCCATGTCCTCTGGAAAGGTATTATTTCTTCCTAATGTTAAGTAATGACACTACAAAGACAAAAAAAAACCTTTTCAGTAAACGATATATCAGTTGATTTACGTGTGATTCCGAAGTTTTATCCAGAAATGTTGGAGCAGTGAGCAATATGATCTTTGAAACAGCAAAAATCTATGTTTTTTTGTCTCCTGGTTACGTGTCTGATGTGCGGATCTCCAACTAACTCGTTCCATTTGTATGTCATAATGACAGCTGCAAATGGCAGAGGAATGCATGAAGTATGCGATGGATTTGAGTGGTTTGTTACTGCTATATTCTTCTCTGGGAGATGCAGAAGGTTTGACAAAACTTGCAACACTTGCTAAAGACCAAGGGAAGAACAATGTTGCCTATCTTTGCCTATTCATGCTGGGTAAATTGGAAGATTGTTTGGACTTATTGGTGGAGAGGTAATTCATTAGGAGTTTGGAAAAATCAAATTCATGCACCTTTGGTTATCTGTGTGACGATTTCGTTCTTTCTCCAGCAACCGGATACCAGAAGCTGCTCTGTTCGCAAGATCATATCTTCCAAGCAAAGTATCTGAGATAGTAGCTCT